TGACGTCCATGGACTCCACTACTGTTGCACATACAACACTGAACATTTTTGTTTCAGTGTTTTACATGAAAACTGAAATACTTTTCAGTCACATAATAATGAAACATTACTCCACCACGGGTCAACATACTGTCAACATACTCGCCAATACTTGCCGATAACCCAAAATATCGTTCAGTTAAATTATGTGTGAGGTATTGCCTTTACATACAGAACAATGCATCTTGATCGCACCTCCTTATTCATGTGGATCCCTTTCAATCAATCAAGAACATTTTCTGAACCCTTTACTTCCAATCATTGACCCTACTTAATGTTCAAACCATCATTTGTATTAATCTCCACCGGATCACTTATAAAACCAATTTGATTTTCTCTAAGCCTAACAAGACTTGATGGGAGACGCTCAGAACGAAACTATTACGGTCGACGAAAGGCGATGATAATCGAATGTTGTTCTCTTTTATAATAATGGGATAAAGAGGTCGGTACTGTTAAAAGAGCTCAGAAACTAATCTTAGGGATTAGGAACCAGCTGGTACATGGTTCCTCAGTCAATGCACTGGGTGAGAGGTAACCAGGCAGAGTGTACTTTTATGTCATCTTGAGACTGTCTTGTCTCGTGTCTCACTCAACTATAGATGAGGCCAGAAGGATTTATAACACATGGCATAGGAAAGTGAAATGGTCAAACATTTTGTTATGGCAAAGTTCCAACGTGTTGTATTTCTCATTTCAAATATCATAGTATTTTACACCTTTTTCTTTATCGTAACTATGGCAACAATAACCCGACAACCATCTCCTTCTACCGCCCCTTTTCCATTTCATGTCAATTATTATTTTCAAATGTTACAATTCATTGTTATTCCCTTGTGATTTTGGTTTGCTTTGCTTCATGAACGAATGTTGACGCAACGTGCATGCATTGCGGTAATGGCCGCTACACACGGATGCGTAATCGTGTACGCTAATGTTATTGCACGCATGCGCCAGCCATTCAACGTAATATTCATTTCGTATTCACTTTTAACGACGTCATTCCCCCAATGGCGCTTCAAATACAGCGCCAGTACAGCGCTAGTACAGCGCCAGTCACTGACGCAGTACTACGCTAGCAGATGTCTCGTGTCCTACGGGTATTGAGCCACATCATCATCAGCATCATTTTATTCATCTCAGACACATCATTCTAGCCTTGTAATTTGATTTCCGTCAACGCTCCACCCTCTCCCTGATCGAGCCCGAAAACCTGTCTCATCTGCTTGTCACTTTTGCGGTTGTTTTTCTTCTTTGTTTACTTATTTATTATCTTTGATCAACGACTAAAATGATAAGCTTCTTTGAAGTACAACATGATATGTTTAATTGCCTGTCGTCAGTTGCGTGACGCATACTCAGAAAGCATGTGTCTTTCATTGAGCTCGTTCGTCATGAATTATCATTCGAATACTACCCAAGATGTGTCGCCAAAAGTTGAGCACACATGAACAATCTGGTCAGGATTCCGCCATAAAGCCTGTATCGTCTTACACTACACTCATCACCATTCATCTCTCTTTAGAACTCGTAAGAAACGTTTATGAACCATATGTGTTAATTTGATAAGTACATTCTTTTAACTCATCACGAAGATAATTGGGTGAAACGACATTTTTATTCCCGTGACATAAATTTAATACCGGCTTTACTTTGTCAAAAAAAGTTATGACTTCAGCTGCAACTCGGTGTTATCTTAGGTTAGGTTGGGGTCAGGTGTCTTCAGTGTTAGGTCCATGAAGAGTTAATGTATCATCATTCGCTCTTTTTTTTTAGCTTTCTGTTTTGACAATTGATGTAATTTTTCTTCTTCAGGATCTGTAATTATAGGTAACTATCGTTATCTTCGGCAATTGAATCTTCAAAGACAAATTGAAGAAGCACGACACTGATTGATTGTTATTCCATGGTAAAACTTCCAGCCAATCACAAGCCTTGTACAATGGAGCTCTTATCACATTCACCAAGGACGTCTTCCAGCTTTAGGCGTGAGGATGTCTTTAATGCAGGTCTTTAATTCATGTTACTCAACGAAGGAAATGAACCCTGCAGATTCAACTTTCATGTCGTGCTTTCGATTGTTTCCAGGTCTTTGATCTTTCACAAACTCAGTCAAACTCTGTCCAGGGATGAAAACATGAATGAGTACTTACTCACTCTACTGTAGATTTGTGTATGGATACATGGGTAATATGGAAAAGATGTTCAAAATTGTTATCTCTTAAAACATGGGAAAGGTGCGAATTATAAGTTCGTCTACAGTTCGGAATGATTGCTCTTTATTCCAGGAGTTGTAAAGAGATCGAAGGAAAGACAGAGAGAGAGAGAGAGAGAGAGAGAGAAGAAACAAAATCTTGAATCCATCTATTTTGCCCTTCCTGAGAATGCAAATGTTGTCTGGAGTAAAGAAGCTGCACAAGGCCATGGACTTAGGATGATGAAATTAACGGTTTACGCCCTGTTCTAGGATCTGTAACTGGAGAAGAGAACATTAGCTAGGTGCACAGGTACACTAACCTGGTCTCGATGCCAGGATACCCTTTTCTAAGACCATCAGTCTTTCCACTGGGTCCCATCATCACCTTGTATAATTCTCCTTAAACATTTTTCTTCTTAATATTTTTCAAATTCGTAGTCAAGATCATAGTCATGAGCGAAGAGAAACGAACGATTTAGCCATCACAAGAAGACAGATAAAATATAGAACAAAAATTGGATCATGGTCTCCCTCCCTGGTCAGTTCAGGAAGTTTGGCTGATATAATGATGACAAAACCAACCGGTTTTGAGGATACTAACCCGTCACGTCTTTAAATTCTCACTATAGGTTTAGTGATAGAAACAAGAAAACAGAAAACAGATGGATATGAGAACGTGTCTGCCAGAACTTTGTACCAATGGCGGGGCGTTAACAGAAGCGAAGCAAGGTAGCTCTCTAACCAAGACGAAAGGAGTGAAAATAGGGAAGAGGAAACTTCAAAGAAAACTGCGAATTTTCCACCAGACTGGTCGGAATACACGGTCCCCATGAGGGCATGTGAAAACATGGAATGCGATCTAACAATTCAAATATTACAAAATCATGCAGCGACTGTAAATATTGTATCAACCATGGCTCGTTGGGTCTGGAGTGTTTTGGCCAAGGTCATGGAACAAGAACATAAGTACCGCTCTCTCTCTTTCTCTCTCTCTCTCTCTCTCTCTCTCTCTCTTTCTCTCGCCCTCTTATTCCGATTCCCCTTTTCTCTTTCTCTTTGTCTCTCTGCTCTATATGATACGTTTGCCTGTGTCAGCGTCTTTCGCATACACAGATTCAAGTTCACTCTTATATTTTTATATTACCCTTGAGACTGTAATTCAGACAGAATTCATCAATGAAATATGAAGAAAAGGATGAAGGCGATGCTGCAGAGTAACGATGGAAGTATACAATCAATGCGTTTCATTATGCTTTGGTCGGAAATAGTGAGGAAATTAAAAAGACGAACGAGTCCATGAATTATTAATGTGATTATAATAGTTCGTGCTTTCTGGATAAAACGAATGAATTAAAAAAGTATTCAAAAAACACATCTCACCTCTCTATGGCGCTTTGCCATTTAGTAATGAATAAAAAAAACGCGGAAATGAGAGGGTTTTAGGAATGTATTCCGGCAAATCTCTTCTTCACAATTATTGTATTTAGGTATATTGCTTACTATTATTGTAATGATACAGATGAAATACCTTTACTTATTCGAAAAGTTCAATGAATCAAAACGAAATGCGATTAGCTGTTGTTTGAATACTGGAAGGTGAAGGGAATAGCAATTTCTTTTTACAAGAAATCTTACCAAAACCTTTGGAAGTGTGCCATATCCGATTGTGTCTAGTCTCTCATCAACATTATCAAATATCGATCATCTGTCATCGTATGAATCAGGTATCGTGTCTTCTGTTTAGCTCTATATGACGCTGTGTCTTCCCATCTCTCTCCTGTCACTCTAAACTACCTCTCTCCCTGAGGAGCTTTGAGTTCATCAATCGGGTATTATCAGATTAAAGGCTCATTTATTTAACATTCGATTGCGCGTGACCGATTTTAGACCATCGGTTAGAGAACGTATTCCCGCCTTGCTTCGAGGGTCATACATGGACCATGTATGGATTAAATGCTTTGAAGTTAGATATACGCAACTACTGTTGATGAAAGCTTCTAATATTTGTCATCTAAAGTATATCAAAAATTCCGAGCTTTAGGAAAATGCTTGAGATTTAGAGGGAAATGACTTTACATTATTTATACATGTATGTAAGGCACGTCCGTCTATCCACAGAAAGGAATCCTTTCCAAGGTTATATCTATTGCAACGTTGCGAGGTCACCAAGTATATAAAAGATAGTAATTATACTTCTTTACCCATCTCATGATATAATGAAATCGACTTTGAAATATTATTTAAAGATTTATTATTGGGATAACAATAACAACGTCATGAGTACATGAGTCTTCCTGATGTTTAGGCTTCACCCGTTGCTAATTAATGAAATGTGTTGTATTTTATATATACAGTAGTCAGCTAGCTTTGCTTTATGCCTTTTTTCTGTTTGTTTCACCTTGTGAGTGTGATTGCTACTTCTTCCCTTACTAAAAGAGAAGAAATGGCCTCTCGTGTTTCCTTTGGTGCATTATTTACACTCCGGATTATTTAATCGAATTTTGCTGTATAATGCGGCTAATGATAGAAACATTGTTATGCTATAATGTTTATTATTATACTTTAACCGTTTTTATAACTCAAATTATTTACGAATACATTAACATGAATTGTATGTTTATGCTTGTGAATTTAATTGAATTGAATTTGAATATGAATGTTTAATGTCAATGAATATGATTTTATAGTGAATCATGTATACAGTCTTGCATTTACCTGGTATCAAATAATCTTACAACTATCAATATGTTTTCTTAATTTTCAGAGGCGCATTGACTTATCTGAGGAAGAGATTAATATATACACAAATCATCAACATATAGAAGGTGAGAATTATTTCATTTTGTTCTGGATATTAAGCTCTTTGCTCGTCTTTTCAATACATACCTTCTTGATTAAACGTGTACCACTTTACCCGGCATATTTAAACAAAACACCACTATTATTATTATGTTTCCCCTTCCAAAGTGTTCAATTTTTCTCACAAGGAGAGAGTTATACTCTTCCTCTGTCTCTCTGTCTCTGTATGTTCATATCTTGATTTTTCTCTCGTAGCCCTCCCCCTCTCATTTTCTGCTTCCGTATCTTATTTTGTTTTGTTATCCCCGCATATGTTGTAGATTGCATTTATCAATTTCGCTTATATTTCCATATAAATTAAAATAGAAAACAAATTGATCGTAAACCCTCATAAATCTCGAGATTGATGCAACCCATCAAATTCTGTTTACTTTCAATTATATTTAAGGCAACCGTACATTTTGACAATTGTGTGTATATGGACAATGCGACATAAAATATATAACGTGTTTTCAAATTGAATTCCTGCCCTCTGCAACTTAAAACTCCTCTTGTTTATCTACAATCACAAATCTGTTATCGCCACAATCATCTAAACATCTCTTCATTTAAATACCCCAAAAATATAGCCCTTCCATATTTGTCATTGAAATTGGTGTTTTATACTCCTTATCATAAAAACGGTAGTAAAAGCAATTGAAAGGAAGAGTCTAAATGCGTATGCCAGTGGTTATGATTTTAGTAGTTTTGCTATCAAGTTGATGACAGACTTTGCAGTAATTGTTAAAAAGTGACCATTTCCATTCAATCTCTCAGTCAACAATTTTCACGCTCATTTTGCATTCATCCTGCTGCACGTTGACACGTTCTATCCAAGCATATTTATATGAGGATGCAATCCATTTCTTCAATATCCTCATATGTCATTACCTCTGGCTTTGGAGAGTCCCACTGTTCTAAAAACGCCCGTATGACTCGTTCTGATTGGAGCCAGAATTAGGTTATGGTCATTATATTAATCGAATTCTAGTCAGACAAACTTGGCAGCTATATGAACAAGTTTGACGCATTTTGTTTTAAAAAAAAACACATTTGTATTAAAGGCTTGCATTAAGCTCCTTACCTTTTCTCTGTATTTTGTTTACCCTTTTACTGCATTTAAAAATTATTTCAACCTCTAATTTTATGTTACCATGGTTACTAACGGCTTATCATCTACCACTAATATCTGTCACTCCTAGATATGATTTCATAGAGCTTTTTTGCTTGGAAAGTTGCGATTAAGTGGAACTCCGAGTGTCCAATAACAGCTCGATTCTGATCGGTTGAAAGCAGAGTTGGGTTTGGTTTTGGAGTTGCGTTTATTTGCAATTATTGTATGCAACACAAACCATTTTATCATTATCCGTATATACATGATTTTTTGTTTAATTATTGTTTTATAATTTTATTTTTATCTTTCAGATTACGATATCTTTTCACCAACATTCCATAAATCTGCAATACATAAACGAAGTATAGACTCATTACCAGCCCATCCCAGAAATCATGAAGTCAAATTTAGCGCATTTGGTGATGAGTTTCATTTAAAACTGGAAAGAAACGTCTGGCTACAACGTCGAGGATTGACGTTGGACAGACTAGGGGATGGTGGAGTGATACAAAGAGACAGATTAGTCAATGGAGGCTGCCATTATTATGGAAAGTTAATATCTCACAGCAAAGCATCATCGGCATCTATCAGTACTTGTAAGGGTTTGGTAAGAACATTTTGATTAATTTTTTGTTTGTAGATTATTTCTATATGTTAAGCAAAAATATCAGCGTAGTGTCAAAACTGCATGCAGTTAAAGGCAACTACATTATTTCTCTGATTAATCATACATAAGACGATGTATAGTAATATTTGGGCCTTCCGATATCTGGTTTTCTATCTAAATAAAATTATCATACCCTTATGTTCCAGTTTGAATGAATTACATGAACATGTTACTTACACATGTGTCACGTTTTCTCATTTCAAACTATTAATGACAGGCATGTACTTATTACAGCTATCAACTACTTTCCAAGGATTGGTCTTCTTAAACCGTAGACAGCTGTCATACATTTCCGAGACTAACATTTAGAAATGAAAGCCGTGATTCTAAATTTCAGCAACTGTCAGAAAACCGCTCCCAAAATCAGCTTTTCAAACTCGATCTTAACTATGAAGCACATGGCTTGGACATCTGGTTTGGTTTAAAGACCAATCCGTTAAACATCCAGATAACATCCTATCGACCCCATACTTGTCATATCGGTAATACTTCGTGGCAGCCTACTTTCCTTAAAATATAATTAAAAATTCCTTTTCATAATTATTTTTGGCAAAAAATGTATGTCCGTAAGAGACGTTCGACCCTGTTTTAATGAAAGTTCATGTAGGAAATATGCTACCCGCCCCATTTCTTTTGAGCGACCTGTTTCTGTGTTTTATTCATGGTGCTTTTTAATAATCGAGATATAATTGAGACATCCTCGGGAAATTCAGGTTACAAAACTAATTAAAGAATCAAATAAATACAAGTTTCTGTACTTGCACTTCCTTATGTCTGTATCACGACAATGCTTATTGTATTGAAAGACGTAATTGTATTTCGCTGTTTCATTCTCTCGTCTCCTTGGTAATTATGTAATCAAATGAAAGAATACCACTTTTGAGATGTACGCATTCATTCATAATGTCTATAAGTTCAAGGTTGACCATTATACAAGTCCTGGGCCCCGTTTCACAAAACTTGTCATCAGTGACAAATGACAGATTCTGTTATAAGCTACTGAAATCCTCGCTTCTGATTGGTTATCAGCAGATTTGCCACTGATATTTGTCATTTGTCATTGAAAAAAGGCTTTGTGAAACGGGCCCCTGCTGTTGAAAGTGTACGCCCACACACTGAACGAAAATATTTTAGTACAAGAAAAGGAAAAAGCAATTCTCCATGTATGCACACATCATGGTTTTATACATATATATTGAACAGTATCTTTCCCTTGTGTATGATTTAACTCTTCGGACAAGTCGAAGAGCTTTGTTCATTAATAATCAATCACATGGTAATGTTTTCAAATTATAAAATATGACAATGCGCAGCTCCACCTTTTTTTAAATGAATTACGAAAGCCATAGACATGATAGAGAAAACTTCCACTTCTTCATATATCAGCATGTGGACTACACTCTTTTACAAAAATCTGTTCTCTTTGAACGGCTTTATTTCACACCTTTTAAGTTGTTATTTATATTTTTGATTCTGAAGAAAAGCCGCTGAAAAGGAAAGTTTCTATTATTCACCTACTGTCACTATGAAAGGAAAGTGAGAGTTCAGAATTGGTTCACCTGTCTCGTAAAAAGTCTCTTATATCACGAAACCGTGAACTCTTGCTCCTTTAATCCTTTAAAACTTAAAGGTAAAGACCAGTAATGGTCATGCGATTGCATTGTGAAAGAAACGTTTTGGAATCGATCAGAAAAGGTTGATCATCTAGCATCTAGCATCTGCAAGGTTCTGGAATCATCAAATTGATAAGAAATTTGGCCCATTCTTCGTAAAGTTACAAGCACTATACACAGAAAGATGTATATGGGACTACCCTATCTCTCTCACACGACCATGAGAGAAATAAATTTACCAAATATATGAATTAGTAGGCGGTTTCCCGGCAAATTTTTTATCATCATGTATTAGTCAAAACATATTCTTTCACATGATTGGTAATGAGAGCTTCCATTTCATTTTTTGAAATTGGGGCGTTACCAATACTGGTCTTTACCTTTAACCATATCTTTATGGTGTTTAAAGCCAGAATAAATGCCAAACTGCTTCTAAAAATTATACAAGAAGTGCTATATTTAAACATGGAATGACATTCAATTCAAACTATTATGAAGAGGGGTGTTTATTCTGAGAATGTGCTATTTATTTATTTTTTAAGTGTACGAAACCTGTACGGAGGAAGATTTTATCTGAAGAGTTTGACCGCGAATTCTGCATGAATTGTGCATATCAAATTCAATCTGATTTCCCTTAACCTCCATCAGTCTCATCCACCAAAAAAATCTCAAGGATTAGAAGAAACGCCTGTGTAGAGGGAATAAAAATGTGTTTATGGAAACTAAAATGTCGAAAACGATAAACGATTTCCTTAGACTGGTCCACTTTCAGTGTCTCAAGAAGTGGGAGATACGGAAATTACCCTGGTAATGTTCTCAAGTCCGAAAGTTCATGCATATCAAAATAAATTACTTTTATCCACTCTCAGGAAATAAAAAAAGCTTTACGATTGTACATGTCTTTATGAGAGCAAGTTATCAGAGTCGAGTTATGAGGAGGAGGAGAAGATATTTTTTTTTATCTTGCTTTCTTTTTTTCGTAACAAAACACACCCCCGATTATCTGACAATATTCACTGACTTCAAAGTTGGTTTATTCGCTTTTTTTCTTTATTCGTTCTTTTTTTCTTCTTCACTTTAGATTTAATTCCTGTATCTTTCAAGCTGTCAATTCTTTCATCGAATTTCAAGTTTGCTTGCCATGCTTATATTTTGTGTTAAAATGATTTAGTCACAATCGGAAACTTTGTATAGCTTTATAGCCTTCTTTTCATACTCCAATGTTGTAAGATAGTCAAGATAGTGTTCTCTATTCCTGTATTGGAGAGCTGAATACAAAATATCCGAATGAGGTATTTCCTGCAACCTCCAACTCGGAAGATTCCAATATCACGGTTCATTTGCAATGAACTGGTCATTTGACTTTGAACCCAAATTTAGCCAAACTGCCTCAGGTCAGGTCGGAGGCAAATAAATTTGTTTTCAAGATTTAAGATTTTAGATAAATCATCCCAAGGATAATGTCCACTTGGATTCATCCAAAAAGCAGCTTTAATCATATCCTCTTTGATAGAATGTTTTGTGTTATTCGGATGCTATCCCAGCTTGTCAGTAATTAATGCTAATTGATACAGGACAGTAGACAGGGTGATGTCGTAACGGTTGTCTCTATTAACATTAATGACATGAATTCCTTGCAGTGTTTTGAGTTCCTTTCACGATTCCTCTTAAATTACGATTCCATTATCTTAATAGGGCCTTTATTTCTGCTTTATACCAGGTTATTTTCTTTGGGTCTGCTCAATATTTCAAATACAATCATACTCTGCATCAGCAGAGGTTCTTTACGACACATGTTATCCAGCCTTCAGACTTATTCTTCAATACGACTGAGCTAAATTTATTAGACTATATAGCCATATTTCAGTTACTAAATCGCCAATAGGCCAATGTCGTAGGAATTCGAACGACAAGTACATTTTCTCTCTCTTATAGTTTTGGAATAACAAATGATATCAGTCCTATTTCTATTTACAACACCGCTGCCACTGCTGCCGCAATTGAACGAACGTATAATTTTATAGAAAAAGTAACTGAATAATGGTATAACCGTGATCAAATTACATTGCAAAGAATTTAAAAAAAATATAATGTTAACATTCTAAATCACTAAAGGGCAATTATCTCAAAAAAATTAAACGTCTATTACAGCTATAGTCATAGATGCAAATACTTGAAACAGTTGCTTATAATTTATATAACTATACCTTTCATCTCTCTCTCTCTCTCTCTCTCCAACCAGAGGGGTGTCATAAGCCATGGAGATTCGGAATTTTATATCAAACCTCTTGAACATCACCATGCAAACCGGATCAGAAGAGATTCGGATAACCGACATACCAATCCGCATATCATCTACAAACGGATATTCGCCAAATTACGAAAGACAACTCCACAAGAACAGGAGCAACCAACTGAATTCTGTGCCTCGGAAGATCGTAAGTACATTTCACTTGTTTTATATTTGACTGATCTGCTATCTACAATTCGTATTGATTTAGAAACATGAATCCACATGCACCGTTACAAACCCTTTAGTACACAAAAAGATCCAGATTAATATGAAAATAACCATACCTTGACGACGTCTACAAGGTCTCATTAATGCTCATAATTTGTAAATTGTCATCATATTTTGTTCGACCATGAAGCGGGAATGAGAGAATTGACATGAACGGATAATGCTATTACAATGTATAGTTTTCTAACTGACTTATAAAAAGACCGTGTATTATGTGGTGTCTTAAGGGAGACCTTTCAAGCAGCAAAAGGAAAACCTCATTCGATTAACCGACGGAATACTTCCCTCCCACTCCCTCTATTTATAGACCTTTTCCGCAAATAGAATCTCACTTTTTGCCTGATTCTGTATCAAATTCTAGACAGAGCATACACATGACAGCTCACACGACCAATAGAGCTTCAATTACTTTATCGTCATCCCATCCATTATATGGCTAACAAAACATGGATCATATTGGAATTTCAATAATTTGCTTCAAAAGTCTTTCTTTACAATTATTATGCATATTTTATTATTATATCTATTTCATATCATTTGCTCGCTTACAATGTGGAATAAGCTGTCATCAGAAGAAATGAGAAAAGGGTTCAATATTCATCAGATATGCCAGGAATTTGGAAAGACACAATTCGTAATTGAAAACAGGTCTTGAAAAAAAAATGACAAAAATGAAAAGCGTATCGATTACTACAATAGGATATTGGTTATGACATTGTCGTTTGACTCGTGCGAGGTCAAAGGTCACGACGTGTTCTCATCAATCATCAATATGTTATGCAGGTAAAATGAAAAATTCAAACAATGTGGAACATGAGAAGGCTCTACTATCATGTTTTAAAAAATGATCTACATTCTGCATGACGTCATCTACATGTACTATATCCCAAAAGAAAACAAAATATGTAGATTATCAATGGTTCTCCCAATTCCTTATTTTTCATTTTAAACTACCCGTTCTTATGACGCCTATATCGTTGCTATGTTGGTAAAACATTATGGATCCTTCTTAACCTGATCATTATTATCATCCGTTAAACCCCGGCGCTAAGCTCTGTCTGAGCTTGACTCTTTCAAAAATCAACACTATTATTAGCTATTAGGGAGGTAAGAACTTATTTGGGGCAATTTCTTTAATTTTTTGTTTGTTTGCTTACTTGTTTGTTTTATATAGCGTTTGTTTTTGTTGTACTGCGCCCAAACTTTGCAATCTCCCCCTCCCCCTATTGCTGGTTACTTCACTCGACATAAAAGTATTAGTTCAGTCATGGAGGAGAACTAATAAAATGTTTTTAAAAAGGTATCCCTTTTGTATTGGATGAGGCCACTAGTTCCTGATTGGTAGAATGTTATGAAGGATGTCATCACGTCTAAGGTGTCTATCACGTCTAGAGATCTGATATCCTTGTTGATGCTTGGTGTGTTTGTGATCCACTGTCCGTCAGCTCTGAAAACACAACGATAGATCAGATAAAATGGCGGCTTAATCATCTCCTTCTGGCATTGTTCTCGTTGGACTGAGTTCCAGGGTGCATCCGCTGGTGTTAGTCACTCTGTCAAGTTGATGTCTGAGGGATAAATGTTTGTCATGTCAATCTGTCAATCAAGACACCATCAGACGGACATCGGTTACCATGGTAATATTGACCTGGGAGAGGCTGCCCTCGAGTAACAGTTGGAATGATTCATACCTTCCAGTCATCCCAGACAGAATTCATTCTTCAAGATATGAATGGACATCCGTAAATCTACAAGACTGTCAATCTACTGACAATATCATTTAGGTCATCCGAGAACAACATTAGATCTGCCACAATCGTAGATGTTTGTATACAAGAACAATGTAAGGCGACGAGTCCATCTCGTCTCGCGTTATACATCCAGTTCAACATCCGCGACGACTGACATGTTGTTACCATGGTTACGAAAGTGGGATGAAACCAAAGAGGAGACAGCGTTCGGACCTCTCTTGTCCTTATATCAACTACCCAGTTTGTGAATTTTGTGCGCTAAGTGAGCTAGCAAATAATTCGACATTGATTACAATGACAGTATAATATCGTACTCTAAATATTCTAGAACTGATAGTACATGAAAACTACAAAGAGACGACCTCACTGCCTGATCATGAGGTCCCCCCCCCCCCCCCCGCTCGCCCCGTTAGCCCAACAGATCAGAAATCAGCTCCTCCAACTTACTCCTTGGACCCTGAAACCATGCATGGACCTCGTATAGTACCAAGCGTAATCCTATGACCTAGATACATGATCCTGATTGGCTGAAAGTCAAGTCACGTGACTATCGGAGTTACACTTACTCACCAAGCATGAGAACTCTAGAGATTTAACGTGTTTTATTCCCACAACAATTGGAATATTTCTTTTGGAGAGGGGGGAGGGGTGATGGGGGAGGGAGAAGAAAATAGGGTAAATAACTTATAGAGAATGATAAAAGTAAGATTTGTTGAAGGTAGGCTATTGAATATAATGGGGTCAAGATTTGACGTATATACGGACAAACATTTAAAATCGAAACGTATCAAGTGATATACGTATAGGAAATTGGCATGATGGAGAAAAGAAATGTACAAAGACACTTGGCAATGGTGTTAGTTTGTCAATATTGTTTGGGTGTGTCGAGAACCCCTGCATGTTTATCAATTTCAATCCATACTATTAGCCGCATGTTGGCAGATGCAAAGGGGAAGTTCTTTGAAGTTCTTTGGAACTTTAGGCACTTGATCAAGCCTTGTAATCTAGATTCCACATGAACTATAAACATTTCTCCGAAGTAGATGAAAATGCTTCTTTTGATACTTTTTCACAAACATGGGTCGAAATGATTGATACATAGATAGATTGGAGTTTTCGTATCGTACAATTATCATTAGTAGATCATAGTGATTTGTATAGCAGACGGATCCACGGATTTTATTTTTAGTTGATTAATTTATTCACCACACATGGGTTGGATTTCTCTTGTCAGCTAATAGCCCTTTTCAGTTATTTATTTTTTATATCAACCTGATATTACCCCCTTTTTTGCGAAAGAGAGGGGGAGGGGAGATGGGAATAAAAACGCTTTATTCAAGATGTAGAGATGTCTTTGTTCTCCTCTTCATTCCAATAGCCGATGAATCATTATGTATTAGGTATGGACTTGTAGAAAACAAATTATTCAATTTCCATAATTAAACCGAATTCCCTCTGTGAGATTATGGATAAACATGCGTATTTCCAAATGACTGATCCTTCCCTTAGCTTGTATAAGACCATGATGCCAGAGGCGACAAATTTTCGGCTGCTTTAAGACCCGAAATGCATCAGTCAAAGAAGTTTGTTTCTAATGCTAGATCTCTGAATAAGCCTATTTTGACGTTCACTCCTAACTCTCGGCTTAATGTGAACGTCATACCCTGACACCGTGTTGAGAAAGTTCACACATTTCTTAATATGGGTACAGGAAGTCGATTTACTGGGAGATTATATCGGCTACAAGGGTTTACCAATTGTTCACCAATTTAGTAACATAATGCAAATGGAAGGCCATATAATTTGCTTGTAATGAGTGTTCCTATGAAAATGAACATCTTTCTTGAATGCCGTATTTCAGAGAGTTCATCACATTAGTGCATGTAGATTACGTCGATTACAACGAATAATTTCACGGTGTTTTCACTGCTGATTGAAAAGCAATCTAGAACTACCATACTTCAAACATATTGAGCACGATAAATACGTTTTGAACATTATCATGAAATCTATGCAACGAGAAACTACAAATTTGTAGCGATGATATAAAGCAATGAATATGCGGATTCTTAATCGTGTATGAACAGGGTAGATATTTCATGTAAAGTAATTGAAATAATACGGAATATGTCTTCAAATAGCCTCTTGTAAACTTTCCATATGAGAAATGCATATATATTTTTTTTTTTTTTTTTTAAGTCATTTTTATTCGAAATGACCAACGATTCATTAAAACTTTGAAGCTATTAATGTATTCAAAACTTAGTTTTTAAACGAAAAATGATATCTTGACAAGATGTTCAGTCCCCGGCGTATATATATCTTTTAGTTATTACAAGTCATTACTCGACATTCAAACTTCATCAGAGTAACACATTTCTATCGGTATGTTGTGTGTTACCGTGATCTATGAGGAACAGCCTCATACTTCCCAGAATACCATGAGCCTTCAATCATGTGAAACCCGTCATCGACCACAGAGTCGTAGGGAGCTGATTATTCATTGACCTTATCGCAGTGATGTCTTATGGGATAGCAAAGGAATTGAAGCATACTTCCGCCCTATGAGTGAGGCAAACCGACTACATACCAATGTACCCGTCCGAGATCATGCTCTCGTTTACATTCTAATATTAATTCCATCACTTTGTAAACAACGTCAGTCTAGTATATAATGACATTCTGTTACATTATCATAATAATTGCCTTATTTTTTTAAGTAAACGATGAATAGAGCAACTTTTCGTGGATCAGAGAATAAGGTTCATTAATAGTTGTTTTTTGTGAGACGATATATTAGGATTTCAGTATCACTTGTATGTGTTTATTTTTAAGAGAACAGCTATTTATCTAATTTGGTATTGAGAATCATCTTCAAATTGATTACAGTATATAATTATGAACAACTGAAGAGATATCGTCAAAGTTTAGATGTAGGTCACTTATAACAAGCTCGAACTAAAATGTATTATTTTCGATTTAATCAAGTTATTGTATGACCATAGATTGACCTCTGTGAATCTTTAGACCTATATTTCCTTGATTGAATGATCCCATTTTTGTTTTATACGTTCAGGGTCTTTTTAGTTCAGCCTAACTGGGACTAACTTTGATAGAATTTGATAGGATGCTCTGAGGAAGCGCAACAAACCGCGATGTTTCCCCGGGAGACGCGTTCTTCTACTCTTCCGCTGGTTCCCTCGTTATAGTCACAATAATGTAGTAACCGAGAGTCAGCTAATTTGATCAGGAATTATCCATCATGTCTATTCCGCCATCGTAAATTATGTTCGTCAGCTTGATCAATCCACCCTCTTTCTATTCCATTTTTTGTTCCTTCTTCTTTTTTTAAAAGATTTCTCTAGGTTAGATTGACCAGAGTTTAACCTTATGCTATCAGAGGATTCAGATGTGCGTGATGTGGGTTTGTGGCTTGTTGTACAGTATAGTAATCCCAATCATCACCGTCGAATTAGACTTCACATGTTTTAACGAATTTCAGCATAAATCCTTAGCATTTAAAACAATTTCTCTTTCCTTTGTTATAAGGTTTTGTAGATTATACCTCAGAAGAAGAAAAAATATATGACTGTATACCGAAGTAGATATTCATATCCGTGAGTCCTCTACCTATCATTTAGGATTTTGATTATGTAAATAATATATATTTTTCTTTGAAGATTTTTTGTTTTTGTTTTTAACTATCTGTGACTAATCTAGATGGTCTAAACCTCATACTTTATTCAAAAGCTATTATTAATTCTAAAAGAATTTACCAAACAATAAGAATGCTTTACCATAGTCTTTTGCAATCGTAAATATATTGTAAATAGCAATATGTGGCATTCCTTTTTTATGATAAATATTTGTTTCCAAAAATCAGTGAACAATATTGTGCATCTACTATATTTGAGCGAAAAAATACTGCCCTTAAGAAATCGATTAAAATATTAACAATAAAAATCACTTCTTAGAGGAGAGCCGAAAGTGTAATTATAATTTGGTACACGTAGGCCTATCTTATATTTTAAAGAAATGTAATGCTGATTAATCAAATTGTATCCAATGGTAGCTTGATATGACCTTGCATCGCCCATGGATTCATAATACTTTCTTCGTCACTGCAAGCCTCATGATCAATAACATATTTTTTCCCAATCGCTATTGCATGGAGCTTCTTTTGTCCGAGGGGAAAGCTTTTAATTCATAGCTTCATTCTATTGAATATTCGTTCGGTAGAATATTGAGTCATTCAATGTTCTTGTTGTTCATGGCCTTGCTGGAAAGCAGCTTCTATAGCTGATAGCAGGCTTTTTAATCGTGATTAAAGAAATAAAATACAAAGAAAATAAAAACCATGATACTACAGCAGAATATTTGCCCCTCTCTCTTTCTCTCTCTCTCTCTCTCTCTCTCTGTCTCTCTCTCTTTCTCTCTCTCTCTCTCTCTGTCTGTATGTCTCTCTCTCTCTCTGTCTCTCTCTCTCTCTCTCTCTCTCTCATTAATCTTTCTATCTATATCTATCTCTGTCTCTCCCAAGTCGTGTTCAAGCTCATAATGTATATTATTATGTATATCATAATCTCACTTCGTCGCACAGTTTGAGGTAGCTTCTCATGTTAAACATGTTGCCAACTAGGAGCATGAAATGTGTTGAATGTTCCAAAAAAATGTGATCTTGACTGAGCTTGTCGGAAGCAATATCGGAAAGCTGCGGGATATTAAGCTGCTAGCTTCAACCCGGTAATATATCCATCTATCTGTGTTTCCGAGTGATTACAGATGATTACCACGTACTCCTGAGACCTCGATGTCAAAAAAAATGTTGTGAAGTTTCAGATTTGATGACGATATAAATATGTAAAGATGTATTTCTACCTTGGCCGTCTATCAAAGATTGTTTGAGTTGGAACAAACACTAAGAGGGTGATAGCAATCGTATCAAATTAGAACAAAAAAAATATTATATACCAACACAATATTCTGAATCTTGGACTTTTCTATACAGTATCGTTCATTTAATATAGTAAACTTGTAAAATCGAATATGATGTATTTTGCTTTTTTTTACTTCTTCGTCTCCTTCAGCGCTGAACAGTCAACAACCTACAGTGTTAATGAACATCAATAGAATATAGATTGAAATACTTAACCTTGCGATCCCTGACAAAGAATCCTAAATTGCTTTCATTTTGATTAAATAATTTCTATGGATGGCACGTATTAGGGTCAGATAGTTATCTGAATGATTGATGGTACATTATATGACATGTAATCAAGGTTTTGAAATAGAGGATTATCAGGTAATCCTATTCAGATCAATATACTCCTATTTTATGTCAAGCTTGTCTTAGAGACCAAATATCAAGTTGTAAGTGATTTACGTATTCCTGTGTGAAGAAATATCCCGGAGGAAAATTATCTGAATGGGTTATTTTTGGAAGATATTGGAATATCGATAAGTGTAGATAGTATAGACGTGGGTGAAATGCTATGTGTGAAATAGCTAGATGATTAAATAGGGAACATAAAAGAAGATACTCGTGAATATATGGTCAAATACAATTCACACAAACAGGATATTTTTACATTGCTACTTTTACCTGATGAACTTACTTTTGTTTTTAAGTTGCCCAAACATTGTCGAGCATGTGTGCAGCGCTTTGTAACTGCAAGGAAAAGGCGCTATATCAAATATCTTTTGGATTGGATTGGATGAAGTGGTAGTATCATGATAACGCTAAATAGCGACTTGAAAACTAAAGTAAATATTATACTATACACTTTCTATTCAGTGTATTTAATAATTTAATCCATTTGTATCTCCCCCCCCCCCCTCTCTCTCTCTCTCTCTCTCTCTCTCTCTCTCTCTCTCTATCTCTACACTATCGCCTATCGCCGCCTCCTTTTTCTCTTTTCTCGCCTGGCCTATTTCCTCTACACACGTTTGCCTACTTTTAGCGGAATCGTCGAACTCGGAGATCGGGAACTATACCCGTGCGCCTTCGACGATGATGTCGTCAATGGAAGACGTGTACATAGGTCAGAAGTACCTGGAGTTCATGGTCATGATTGATAAGAGTATGGTTGAATTCCATGGTGATGACGTCATCAATTATACCATGACGCTGATGAATATTGTAAGTTCATTGATACATTTTTATTTCAAATTCAGTATTAAAAAAAATTAACATTTACAATGTACATATAAAATCAACTTAAATATGTGAAACAAAGTAATGACATTTAAACACAAATAGTTGGAAAATGAAATAGGGTGTATTAGTAAAAGCCCATGTGGCAGAAGTATTATGAGCTTCCGGAGAAACCATTACATTGTTATTCAGTTTAGTTTCTTTTTAAAACAAATAAACTACCATGTGAATCAACATTGATAACATGCCACGAAGCTGTTACATTGAATGTGTTTATCGTAGAGTTAGACCAAAGCTAGACCTGTATATGAATAAAGCTTGACTGACTCGTTCATGTATGTATGTATCTCTTGGACTTGAGTTATCTTATTGACATGATTACCATTGGAATGAAAATATGATAGACCCCTATAAGAATATTATAAATCATAACTTTTGTTAAATTACAGGTCTCAAGGAGATTCGCAGAGCCTTCATTAGGAGTTAGCATGCGATTGGCTATCACCAAGTTCATCATTCTCGATACTGATACACCGATGGTAAGTTCATACTTTATATCACCAGTGAGTAGAACCCAGGCAAATGACTTTGACAAAGATCTTGTCCCTTGTTCTAAACATAAAATGAATGAGTGATAGAATGAGGGAGATGGAAGGGGAGGCTTGACAATAATGGTAGTTCGGGAATCCTTCCAATTAGACAAAAAAAATCAGTGTTTGGAACGCTGCTGGGACAACTTAGCACTACGAAAATCAACTAGTGATAATTATGTTACTGAAATGATTGTATAATTAATTTTCGATAGTACAGCTTACAAAATAATGAAACCAGAATTCCAGCTCAAACTAAAAACGCTTTGATAAACATTGTAATGTACCTTAAGTATTTCTATGGGAAACTTTTTTTTTTTAAATCTTTAATTTTAGAAATTTAATAATTCAAACTATAGATTACTATTTCTATTCCAAAGTTCTGTCTCGATAGTGCCAAGCGTACGGGTATTATGCTCATCATCACTTATTTCACTTTAGGAATATAAGGATCATATTTGTCCATTTCAGATAAATGAATGTCTCAACATACGAACATGAGGCACCTGTATCACTTAACATACTATCCAAACCACAGGTGTCCTGATGAGCTAAGTGTCATTGATACATTATATATCTGAATCATCTAATCAAATTTATCCAAGTCATTATACAGACGGATGAAGTGAAAAGTATTTAGAGGTGTCATAGCTTAAATATGAATCTCGTGGAGGTCAGTTGATCAGTAGGGATGGATAGACCTTGGGATGATTTTAAATCATAATACTTTGTTGTTATGTTATGTCTTCTCAGTGTACTTCCTAATATTTCGATGCCTAGTCGTTGATTAGACAAAGATATGTTTCGGAATGGATATCACAGGATCATCATCGGCCTTAATGTAAAGCAAGGACAGTGACTTTGCATTCATGGAAACATTCAAATGGCTCGGAAGTACCATACCTCCTCATGACATGCCGCGTCAATTACACATGCGCAGTATAAATTAATATCACGATATAACGAGTGTAAATAATTATGACAGGTATTGAATTCATATACCGTTTTAAAAATCTTGCAAGATGTCTTGACTCTTAGGAAAGAATGATAATGATGGAGGTAAAAAACTTTATGTAGGTATTTTGTTTGATAAATTTTGTTAGGTCTTGTTTTATTTCCAGAGCATAACTTGTTGCTAACTTGGAATACTTTAGACGAACCGACGCCGAATGGAAATCAATTTATTCCACCTCTTTCTCTCTCTGTCGTCTGAGCTTCCTCCCAGGTGAAAGTAGATTAGGTGAACCATAGGTCGTCACGCCCTCTGTCGTCTCAAGAGGCGTATTTCAATTTTGAATAATTTGAGCCTTGTTTTGTAATGAGTCTAGACGGATTCCCTGTATCTTAATTCATTGAGTATTCCTCCCAAGACTGTGTTGAATTAGGCCGAGGTGGTAGAACTATGTTATTGACAGTTCAAGAAATGGTTTCAGATCAACTGTGATGAACACCACAATAGGACGAATCAATTAACAGTGGTACATGTACTAATCTGTGAGTAAATACTTGTGGTGGGCGTGTTATAGGGGCAAAGTCGAATGAGAAGAGGTTTTAAGATCAACCACTCCACCCTATGCTTGTATAGAGAGAATATAATAAGGTAAGACGTTAGAATATTCATTCAATGATATGCAGTCAGATTCCTCTTTGTAATTCTATTTTCGCATGGTTGTAATGATAGACAAAGTCATATTTAAAGTAAATTCCCTAGTCAGAGCTCGACCTTCAATGATTTTTGAAGTCGGAAGTTTTGACCCAATTCCTCAACTCGTGTGTATGTCTGCTCCAAATTGTTGTTTTTCGTACTTAATTTTCTTTTGCATAATGTGGCTTGTAAATATGACTCGAAGCTTCAATGTTTTTTTCGTCACTATGTTCGATCAATGTTGATCTATTTCCAAATGTAACTTTCTTTACCTGTCGTTATCTATTTTGTAAATATTTTTAATACATATATTTTATGTTGATAATACTAATTTTACAATAAAATTACCAAACATTTTCTCACTCAGAAAGATTTTCATTTCCTTTAACAATGACGTAGTAGAGCAAAGAATTGTGTATGTTAATTAAGCAAGATTTGTGAAAACGGGGTCGCCGATTTCAACCAAAGATCACGCTTTTTATGAGCCGAGCGGCGTTTTTGTCTGAGTGAAATTGTTTGTTCCTTTAACTAAATACGTATTCGAGAAAAAGCAGTGCTTCAAAGGAGATGCTGGACCATACAAAGGAGTTTTTTATTCGTTATTTCATCAATAATTGTAAATGATACGAATGCATACAAGTCTTAGTTGAGCAACATAAAACATTTTGGTATGCTACGGCTGATCGCGACAAAGAATGAGGATTGAATCGTCTCCATCAGCAGTCTAACCCGCGAGAATAAACATCTGTCCTTTCATCTGCTTGGGGCTTAAACCATTCACAATTATTGCTCGAATGTTTTCATCCTTTGTATGTGTGTTTACGGATAATATAAATGGTTCGCACACAAAAAGGTGTTCTTTTTATTGGGAGCACAATACTTAATTCACCCCTATCAGCTATCAATCATCTACATAGAAAGAATTATAAGTTTCGACATGTTTTTTCATCTAAAGAAATCGACACGGAATTGTAAGCCTGCAGCACATTGCAATCATGATAAAAGCAATCATTTTAACCTGCATAATAGGGTTTACTCAAGAGCTTGTTCAAAGTTCCGATAATAATCAAAATGAAATAATGTTCAAACTTTTTCTTCTTCATGCACTTTTTTCTTTGATAGTTATTTGATTGAACAATTATCAGATTACATCGCTTTGGGTCGTAGAAAGTACACAGTCCCAGACAGTACAGCAATCAGTCACCACAAGTTCACTTTATGCTATTCAGATGCTCGATTTTTTTTTTTTTTTTAGCAAGAACCAACATTATTTTATTCATAGAATTTCTTCCTTGTAAAGTTTAGATTTATCATCTCAAGAGACGTTTCATGTAATTAAACATTTATTATTCAACCATAGTTATAAGATGAATATACTCCAATTAGCAAGATCAGAGACAGTAGCGGATCCTTGGAGGAGGGGAAGGGGGGGGGGGGGCTAAATCCTATCTTGCATGTCTTCATCAAATATGAATAGACCTCCCCCCCCCCCCCACCCTCCCACCCCCTTTGATTTATGCCTGGATTGATTTGAGACCCTCGAAGGCACCTGGAATGTTTCAGACTTGTGCTCCCCTCCCCCTTCCTGCCCGAGAATCCTGAATCCGCCTCTGATGATTCATGTTGTATGTAACTTGTCCTTGTCCACGTCTGGGGTATACTATGGATACTCTGGATACACCGTACTCATAATAATTAACCATGTATTCTTTAATTAATTTTGGGTAATGTCATGGAGATAAATCAAACCAACCAACCTTCTGTTGAGAGTCAGAAGGATGTTAACTGATGGTAAAAGCATGTGCGATAACACCCTTTTGGCTCTTAACACTACATCCCAGTCTTATTAACTATGACAGGTGTAACTACATTCTATATTACAGGTGCAGTCTATCACAGGTCATAATATTAGTCTAAATGTTCAAGCGAACGGACCTCAGCTATTGGAAGAGTTTTGTCGCTGGCAAGCTGGCTTTAATCCAATCCATGATGCTCATCCTGAACATTGGGACATCGCTACGCTCATTACAAGGTAAAATATAAGAATTAGAGTTGATGATTGATTGATTGATTGATTGATTGACTGCATGGTAGGTGCCTTTTTAATGTATGAAGGATCATTTTATTGCGGATTGGTGAATTGATTTAGTGCGAATTAAACAGTAATTGTTGTTTGGCAAATCGACTGTTTGGTTGATTGCTAGCTGATTACCGGTGGTAGGTCAATTAATAGACTGACTGTATTTTGACTGATGTATTGATTGATTTCATTAATGTATTAATATTTCTGCTTTTGATTTGAAATGATAATTATTCAATATCTGCATTTATTGGGATTGATTGGCTGAATCTTTGTTGTATAAATTATTTGCTTAATTGGTTGTGTGGTCTGTTAGTCTTTCTATCTTTCGATCAAAGATTGAGCCCTTATAATTACATTCTAACAGTGAAAACGGTCATATCACGTTTTCCATGAATATGACGTCAATGTGTATACATATCAACACCAACTTACATCTGCTAAACACACGGATCAACAAAAAATGATATCGTCACTGTTTCTACTCTAGCCCCATAAAAGTCGGTAAATTGTGACGTCATGATACACTCCAGTACCCGTATGTGGTGACGTCATGATTTCCAGCTTTCGTCAGTAGATGTGGACTTATCATGGGAATCTGTCGAATATCACAAATATAATCCATATTCTACGGTTTAAATATAGGGACATGGAGATAATGAACAATAATATTATGTCCATGTTTAACACCTGTGGATAATGAACGCGTGGGTCCGCCCGCGATGTAAACAAAATATTTCATATTTAGGAGCACCCAATTCAAATTCAACTATAAGATATTTGTTATATGCTGCTCTGTTATGAACATGTTTACTCCAACAACAATGTTAAAGAATTTATATTGATACGTAAAGAATTGAATTGAATTGATTTAAATTATCAGTCTTTTACATATTACAGTCTTGTCCAAAAAATGACGAGAAAGCGATTCAACATAGTGTCACAAATTGTATATCCGTGATTCCTTACAAACGGTATTTGATAATACGGGAAGTCAATGGTTTCATTGTTATAATAAAATAAATATTGATGTTTTGTGTTTCTAATTATTTAATTGACTTGAATGCCGAATGAATAAACACGTGCATTGTTTAACCTCAATGATGACATGTGCATGGCTAGTGAATGATAGATGTATACAAAGATATCATTCCTCGTCAATCTATAAGTGTGATATATTATTTTTTTTCTCTGCAGAAAAGACCTATTTAAGCTATCTGGAACCTACCGTGATACAAACCTTCTTGGAAGGGCATACATCGGGACTACATGTCAACGCTCATTACAATGTTCAGTGAATCAAGATGATGGACTCACTACTGGATCGGTTATAGCTCATGAAACAGGTCACAAGTAAGTCTTTTCTAAATTTGTTCGAAGAAACCTGAAGTATACAGGCAATAACCATGGGCATCTCGTGTCTCAAATATCTTGATTTTATATTTTGAAACCATATTGCATCAATTAATGTTAACAAAAGTCTATTCAAACGTCGGGATAACAAGTAGATATTGTATATAATTCTTAAATAACCATTTTTAGTCATTATCTGCTTATAAATTTTGAGAAAAAACAACAAGTTAGATAATGCTTTGTATATGAAGTCGAGATGACGGAATGTTGTCATGAGATCTAGACTTATTTCCATCAATTCTTCCAGCAAGTTTTCATTATATTTCATTCGTACTCTTTCTTTCTTCCTAAAATAGTTTAAACCTTCATCATGACCCTGACTATGGGTGTAATAACGGACATCATGTCATGTCTTCAGCCAGGCCTGTCGGCGTAGAGTCATTCAAGTGGTCGGTCTGTAGTGCACAACAGATTAAAATCTTTCTCACGTAAGTGTTATCCAGAATGATATTGTTTCATTATCCTTCTCCTCCCTGTAAAGTTAGTAATAATACGTCCATTTATATGACGCAGCTACTATATGGATATACTCTACTGCGCTTTACACAAAGTATCACGTTATTGCTCCGGCTGTAGCTGATAGTAACATAACAAGTCACTTTTTTGTTAATCTTAACTGATTTTGCCAAACATGGTAATGTAAAAAGCTTTGATTAATGATTAATTGTGTAGTCTAAGCCCCCCTAAAAAAAATCAAATAACGTTCTTTCTAGAGTTAGGACATACAAGCCCCCTCTCCCTCTCTTCCTTGATGGTTCGTTTTTATATTTTCTCTCCAACAGTAATCGGTTATCTTCTTGCCTGAATGACGCACCTAGTATTGATGACCCGGAAGTAGACTTGTTAGTTGTGAATGATCTTCCGGGTAGACGGTACACCTTGAGGGCCCAGTGTCAGTTAGCCTACGGAGCTAGCTCAGCCGTCTGCTCCCAATCTGTAAGATTCAAAATAAATATTGCCTGAAAATAAAAGATAAAAACTGTCCTTCTATCATTCAAGAAAAACAATATAAAACGATTATTACTTTGAGAAAATTGAAAAACATATCAGTAATTGATGAAAGCGAATTTTTATGACTTCTCAAAAAGACAAGTATTTGAAGAAAGAGTTGATTGAAAGATGTGATTGCAAATTTCTAAGAAATGCAAACTTTGTTTCTGTTCTTTTTTTAACATGCTCCACTTTCGCTCACATAAATATATTACTCTCACTCTGATCTCGAAACGATTCAATCTATAAACCGCAGTACTGTGTAATTGTCTTTTTGCCTTAAATATTTACGTAGTTTTTCATAATAGTTGTAGTTGTTTGTAATGTTTATGACTGTATGCTTCCACGATGTGCCTCTCTGTCATATCAATGTGTTAACATTATTAGATGTTTATTACATCCAATAGGTGTGTGGTAGTCTAGGTTGTCAAGAAGGAGGTTTCTGTCATTATTCTGGGATCATGATCATGGAAGGAACTACATGCGCACCTAATAAGGTATCACATTTTATCCATTTTATTAATCAGCCAATCAGAATCAATGATTTATTAAAGATAAAACATCATTGGTCAATTCATGAATGCATTCGATCATGAAACTATTTGCCTGTGGTCCAAATAAGGTTTCGTTATTATTTATGTCATTTACCAGCCAATCACAATGTTTCATGAAAGGTTGACTCTTATAGGTCGATTTACGAATGCAGTAGATAAGAAAAAGATATTGATCAAAACAGCACATCTGACGACAAAATTATATTTATAAAACTATAACTTTTGTTTATGCTTATTTGTATTATATGGCTGTTGGAAGAGTAAATCATTGAATCCGAATCGGGAAAATATGAATTATTATGATTATGATTACTTTTGTTTTTTCGTTAATACTTTGATTTTAATTATAATTCAACCCGCATTCTTTCCCTCTCTACCATGCAGTGGTGTATAAGCGGTGAGTGTGTCTCGACCAGTGATGGTCTACCTGGACCAGTGGACGGTGGATGGTCGGACTGGGAAGCTGAGTTCAGTCAATGCTCGAGATCGTGTGGGACAGGGGTGCGAGTTAGGAAGAGGAAATGTAACGACCCAACCCCTGTGTATGGAGGGCTAGCATGCGAAGGGCAAGGACGGGAGGTTCAGCTTTGTAATATGATGGTAAGATTAATCACAATACAAAAATAGAATTAGAAATTGATTGAGTTTCAGAATGGATGACTTTGCATCAAATGTGCCCGAGATTATTTATTACAGATAAATCGGTTTTAACTTCGATTTCAAAATATGCTCCAATTCAGATTATTTTTTTTATTTTTTTGCTGACTATGACTATTTAAATAATGTCGTAATAATTTTTATTTTGAAATTTTGAAACTGACATTTGAATTCCAATACTGACTGGTGCAAATACACACCCCTTTATTGCGAAGGACATGTTTTCTTTTATGTTTAAGACTATACTATCCGATAATTTATGTTGTCAATGTCTTTGAATTTGCTAACTATATCACAATATAAAAACATTGTAACTATTGTTTTTTTGTATCGGTTTCAGCCATGTCACAATGTAACGTTGGACAATTATAAGAATGAGCAATGTTCTGCAACAAACGGCGTTCAGTTCAACAATCAGTACTATACATGGAGGGCCTTCTTATCTTCAATCATTAAAGGTAAACATAACATTGAGTGGCGTAGCTACTCAGGCAAGGCCCCCCTCCCTATCCCTTCCAACCATCTTCTACCAATGTTCCCTCTTAGGTAGGATCCAAACTACAAAAGAAATTATTTTTATCTCTTGTTTTATTAACGTTTGTATCCCTGAGAGGTATAAGGCACATGCTAATTTTCTAAGTAAGCAGGACGTAAGTGTGCGATAGGTAAAGAATCCATGAAATTATTCTAACTTATGCTCCGGATTAACAATTTAAATCACAGACCTTAGTACTAGTCAAAATCTTTTTATTGCATTCTTTAACGTTATAATAGCATTGAGGGACACATATAGAACCCTTCAAAAGCATAAAAATTATGACAATGTGTATAATTTTCCCTCACTCAGGCAACAACGTTTGCAAGCTCCAATGCATATCGAATGCAAACTTCTATGCTCTCCGTGAACCAGGGAAGTATGCAGACGGTACACGGTGCTGGCATGATGAAACAGGAGAACAAGCTCTTACAAAAGCATGTGTGGACGGACTCTGTAAGGTAGGACAATTTGCTATTCATAGAACATTAAATATTTCGAGAGCTTTTAAAAAAATAAAGCACATTTTCGATCCAGATGCAGTAAAGGGAAGATAGACGAGCTATTTTTTTTTAAACATTTGAATACCTTTTTCTTCAAACTAAATTTAACATCCTTTTATACCATCAATGATCAAACCTCGCTTATATATATTTTGTACGTATAGTTTCGAAGTGATTATTAAATTTGATAAGACTCGTTAAAAAATCTTATAAAGTGTTTTAATGTAGGCAATTTGACACTCAAGATGAGCTAAAGTAAATGGTACCATATAGACAACAAAAATCATGATCATTTTAGTAGAGCAATTTTCTTGTCGAAATGCTGTCAACATCACATTTTCCCTTTCGTATCAGTTTGCTTTCTTACTTTACTCATCAAAGTCATCATTGAAATGTGAGCGACTTATTTTACCCTCCCCCTCCCCGTCTCCCTCTTCTCGTTTGTAGGAGTTTGGTTGTGATGGTGTTACGGGTTCTGGACGTATCAAGGATGTATGTGGTCGATGTGATGGTTCAGGGAGGACGTGTAAGAGACACGTAGGAAGAATCAGGAACGGTGGAGCCGTGCATGGTAGGTTATACAAATTATATTTAATTACATCTTTCAGTCGGTTAATATATTACCCCTTTTGGTCAAGAACTCTTGCAATGTTTACACCAAGTGAATGTTTATTCCTCAGTCACAAAACTGAACCGACTCCAAAGCAACGGTAATAGTAAAATCTTGGTCATTCTGCGTAATCTAATTGTATCTTGTCGGTGTCGCCGGGTGTCATGCTAAACGTAAAATTATGCCTGACACTAAACAAAAATAGTTTATTCTATTACAATCAAAATTTTAAAAAACTTGACAAATTTAGGAGTTATAAGACTTTCAGCTGAACAATTTCGGTACGTGCGTTGAATAAAACAAAATTTTGTTATTAAAAATCATGTGTTGTGTTCGAATATTTTAATTTTGAGAAACAATTTCGTCAAATTCATATTCTATTAGAACGTATATTTTGAATGTAAATTCTTTGTAATATGAAAGCTAAGACCTTTTTTCCACTTCATTACAGATTTCAAAACATTCCTTCAAATTCCTGTGAACTCGACTGCTATCAAGATAACGAACCAGAATCTACGTTATACTCATATGTGTAAGTATCTTAATTTCTTCTTCAGTTTAAATATAATTTACATAGGGGAAATATCAAAGAGAGGTAGAACGCCCACTTTTCAATCCACGTTTCTTGTATTTTGTTTCATCCTTCCAATTAGGGTAGAAAAGTATGGGCGCATCCGGAAGGCGAATGGGCTGAAGTCCATTCCTTTTGAGAATCAAATAATTAATTCAAAATCATGTTGAAAATAATTCCCATCCTACCCACTCGGTAGCTTCTGAAGCTCATATTCCTTTCAGAGTTAGAAACCTCCTCATCTTTTGGACAATCCAAGATATGCCCCTGATTAAATATTACCTCAATTGTTTTTCTATGCTGTACATTCCAGAACATCATTCTGTAAGTGACATAGAGCACCTTTATATTTAAAATGACCATCTATTGCCTTTTTTCATTTATTTCCCAGCCGTGGAAGCTGACGGTGAGATAGTATTCCGCGGTCAGATGTTCATTCCTCCTCTCAGCCAGCGTTACAGTCATAGCGGTATGATCATCAAGTATCTAGCTGATGCCTTCCATAATAAAGAACATATCTGGGTTCTCTCTGGGCCTACCACTGCGGTCCTAGATGTTTCTGTGATCTTACTACACAATCCTAGATACCTTGGGAGTAGGGTTAAACCAGATATCACATGGGAGTTCTATGCTCCCGTCACGGAGCCTGTCAGATATTAGTAAGTCAAACAATTTTCATAAACTTTTTTTAAATTGACAAACTATTTTTGCAGCCATTAATCTTTTATACATTGAATTTAATACAGTAGATGATGAAGTCAACACTTTTTCATCAATATGTTATTTGTAGGTAAGGCATGCATGTTATTTTAATCCGTTTTGTGATATGACTGTTTCTTAATATGAAAAGTGGTTTTACTTGACGGGATAGTAAAGGAGCACGCATCTGTTCATATTTGAAAGATAATAGTCTTACTCCTCAGTTTATATATATCAAAGGGCATTTAAGAATGTTTAAGAAGATGGAATGTTTGTAGGCTTTTCAATCTAGATACATGCCATGACACATGGATTGTATTTTAACTCAATAGAAGCCCCATATTGGCCCCCAAAATGACAGGTTTTTAGAACCCGACTTTATTTGACGTTTAAGCCGATTTTGGTTTCCACAATATACATGAAATTAAAGCTACATTTTGTAATATAGCACTTTGTAAGAGCACACGGTACAACCTTCAAGAAGAAATTTCTTTCTTTTTATCTAAGTTAAAACTGAAATACTATTCTTTTATATTTCAACATATTTATTGATCCGTTATTATTTTGGTTGTTTATAGTTGGCAGCATGAGATGTTGAGTGGATGTACAGTGACGTGTGGTGGAGGAATCAAGATCAGACGTGTCTTCTGTACAGAGGTAACATTTCACATCAACTCATCAAGAATGTTCATTAGTTCAAGGATCATATTTATCCATGTGAAAAATTCATATCAATTGAAATGAATAAGTTTGCAAGTAGAGTAACTATCATTGAGATGCAATGACCAACGAGATTGCATGTGGATACCCCCCATTCATATCAATTGAAATGAATAAGTTTGCAAGTAGAGTAACTATCATTGAGATGCAATGACCAACGAGATTGCATGTGGATACCCCCCGCCCCCCTTAGAGAAATTGAACATTGTATATAATTATTTCAAAATATGAATGAACCACCTTTTGACCAACTACAAAACGGAAGACCATTTTCTTATAAATTAGAAGTATTCGTAATTTGTAACTGATGACATTGATAGATGGTGCATGTTCACGAAGAATCAATGATTTAATTCCAAATGTATGATTTACACAAGGAACCTTTTTTTCTGTATCTATTCAGAACATAGGAGGTGAGGCAGGTGAAGTGAGTGATTTATTCTGCGACTCCACCAAGAGGCCATCAGAGCGCCGTAGCTGTCAAAGCCAGCCTTGCCCCGTACCGGTCTGGGTCGTGGGACAGTGGAGTCTAGTATGTCAAGTCATCAAAATTAATTGATTGATTCCAACATTTACCTTTTAGCTGATACTACTAAATTTTGGTCCGAGCAAAACTAAATCTTATCAATTTTATCTGAAATAGAACCTTCCGTGGAAGTGTCGTATATAAGATGACTTTATTTGTGTTTTATGTGATAGTCCCAAAATTGACAGTAGCTAATCCAGGATTTGTTTTTAGGGGGGGGGGGCACAATTAAAATTTGAATCTGTGACAAGCAACAACAAAAAGAAAGAAAAGGTAACCAATTTCTTTTCACGTGCCTTTTTTTGGAGTCGAAAATCACTGCCCAAATAAATTTCAATCGGGGGCAATTTTCTTTACTTAATGTGTTCTTCACCTTTGCTAGATTTTTTTTTCTTCAAGGGGCACATGTCACCTCTTAGCCATACTCCCCTGTTTCGCAAAAAGAATTCATGATTAGCTGTGGATATGTATAAAGTAGTGAAACACCGTTATTACTTTTTATATTATTAAAAAACGAATGAAAGCAATAAAATATAAAGTGTTAAATGAGGCATATATATATATAATTTTATATATATATATAAATATATTGATATGGTTTTACCCTTGTAGTGTTCAGCTACATGTAATGTAGGGAGGAGAAAGCGAGCCATAGCGTGCCTTCTAAATACAACAGGGGAGCCAGTGCCTGACTTATGTGATCCGAACCTCAGACCTGCCACCGAAGAACAGTGTGTCGAGGCACCCTGCCCTAGACCTACTGATGGTGAAAATGGTATGTGCACGCTGCTATACAACTTGCATGTAATTGTCCTTTAAATACCAATGCACGCTGCAACTATCTACAACAAAATTCACACACGACTAACTCTGAATTAAGACTCTTGCATGTGCATTAACAAGTAATGACATCGATTTGAAGTTCTTTTAATGACCATAAAATATATTTTTCACAAAAATTCAAACAAAATTCTCATGATCGGCTATCTTCTTTGGAAGGAATAAAATATTTTTTAATCCAATACAGGTATTATTAGGTATTTCATAAAAATCGCAATTGCAGAGTTTCGAGTCAGTTGATAATGCACCGTTTTAAAAATAAGTATTGTGACATGCCTTTGTTTGGTATTTTGTACTAATTGCATGCTGCCCTTGTCTAACAAACCTGCTTGATTGGCTTCCTTTATTGCAATCCAGTAACCATGGTAACATCTACTACCAGCTCTTCGATGGATCCGAATCACTCGACTCCCTCGTCAGCATCGACATCGAGTCCAACATCATATGACAATGTGATCATGACGACGATTCACCATTATACAGCGCAAAGCTCAACTAAGACAACTGATGAATCGTATGACATAGATAATGATTCATTTAGATCTGATTCTCTTTCGGATGTAAGTGATATTGACACTTCTTCTCAAAATGTTGCTATCCAAACTTCAGAACAATTGGAGAAAACATATCATTCATCGCCTCCCAGCGAAGTTCCAACGAACATGGCGATTACGGATGTGTATGAGATTTCTAACCGTGTTTCATCCACGAGTTCAGCGTCCCCCTTGTCCATTAATATCACATCTAAACCAGTTACTACTTCATCTCCGACTGTAGCAACATCCGATTTAAAGACACTTTCTGTTAGGACCCATAGTTCATCCACATCTGTATTGAATTCAACGTCACCGCATACTAAAGTTCCTTTATCTTCTACTTCTCCATCGATATCAACAATGCCGTTGGCGTTAGCGACATCACCGTCATTACCCTCATCGTCGCCATCTTCATCATCGTTACCGTCGTCGTCGTCGTCGACATTACTAACTGCTCTATTATCATTAGATGAAGATTACAATGGTAATGAAATGGTAGTTGATGAATCAGTATTCCTGTATTCTTCAGATGGCGATGAAAATGAAAATGCAGTAGAGTTTGATGAATCAGTACTGCATTCGAATCTAGAAACAAATGTGTTGTCGTCATCACTGATAATGCAACTATCATCATCGTCGTCAGTATCATTGCATGGGAACGAGTTTTATCTCTCTTCGCTAATCAACCTCGCTATTGCATGGACCATTTTAATCACACTTTCTCTGACTCTTATGGAATAGACAATGTATGTTGATGTTCTACAAGTTTGAACCGGTTTGATCCAGTTTCTACCACTTTCTGCCTTGGTTGATTACGAGACAAATACATCATCCAAAGAAACATAATTATGTGATAATCACCTTTTAAATAGCACTACAAACATTCTATTTTATACTTGTGCGTGAGCCTTGCCTTGCCTTGCCAGGAAATCAGCATATCGGAGATGATTCTTGAGATGAAAATTGCCTGTTTTTATATTGCTGCGTGCATGATAGTTTGTAGACCATATTGCTTGCCTAGAGACATCTGATCATTGTGCTTGTATAAGACGTGATAGAAATGAATGCATGATCTACATCTACCTCACACCCCACTTCATGCATCATGGCTCTACTTCGTCTCTATACACGTATGTATATCAACCGTTTTATGATTTAGTGTGTAATGTAAATTAAGAAATAGCCAACTTCTCCATCCCAGAGATATAAATGTGTTTGATAAAATGTCAATCAAGATTTCTCCCCGGGATTTCTCATATACATTTCGTGGTACAGTTGCCCTTGTACTTCTCCATGGTTATAGAGGGCGCTAACATATTCTACGAAGACGAAATCATCCCAAACCTCCCCTTTAAAAAAGAAGGTCCATCCTTTTTAAGTTGTTGAATAGATAATCATTGAATAGATAATCACCCATTGCAACAGAAAACATTTCGCATAAAAAGACCCCTTTTAATATTAGTTTTTTAAACGATATATCCTTGTATTGTACACAAAATGTTATAGTTGTCAATTCTGAACTATTCCGATATTATTTTAAAGAATAGAATATACAACTTTGAAATTACAAATGTATAAGTGAATTCAATATGCATAAGTTGTATCCATCTTTTCTAATTATTTCATTAATATTCATTTCTATTGTAGTTGATATCACCTGTAACGGTTTGACGAGAAGAAAAAATGGTTACATCGATCAGATCAACAGACCAACAGGTGGAGATTCGTGTACTGCTGTCATCGTAGCTCCTATTCATAAAGATATCATCTTCACTATAAAACAGATGTATATAGACTGTGATGCAGGTAAGTCTCTCTCCCCAACCCCCAACCCCACCCCCTCTCTTTCTCGCTCTCTCTCTCTCTCTTTCTCTCCCCCCCCCCCCCCACCACCGACCCTTGTCTCCAAAAGTACAAATTAGTTACTGAACATATTAGCAATATCTAATTTTATGTGTAACTTTGGTAGTGGATTCCCATATCACTTTATGAAGAAAAACTATTTTCCTGAACAACCCAACTCTTGAAAAGTACTTTGAATGCATAATACTGATTCTTCTTTCCATATGTTTTATTGGCAATAAATGATATTATTTACAACGGACTTACAGGTAAAGTATGGCTTTATTTTCTGTTATTACAAAGTCCGGATTCAGTCTACTTCTTAGTATTTGGAACAAAATTTCATAAAATTCCATAGTTGTGATCGGCATTAATTTTATGGTAATTATGTTTTACATATCATTTGGTTGTAACAACTGAATAGTGTACATTCTTTGTTTAATCAATTTGTATCCTATCTATATCTACCATATCTCTTCCTCATTTTGTAGGTGAATCATTAGAAATCAGAATAGGAGAATCGAGGCGGAGGTTATGCGGGAAACAATACCAGGTTACTATGGAAACAGAGAGTAATGTTATAGCGATTGAACATAAAACACACAAACAAGGGCATGGCTATCAACTTCTCTATCATTTACGGAAAAGCCGACATAAAAATGGTAAGTTTAATGATCAGTCATCAGTTACAGTAAAGGCAGATGTGTGACTATTTTTGCTTATTTTGTATACATCGTAGATATATGAAATAATGCAGTAAAATTAAAAGTGATATTCATATGACGTTCTTGCCTTGTCTATAATGTACTGCAAGTTTGCACTATATTTATTTTGATAGTATAAAATTAAGCATCATATGCTAATGATATGTTAATAATACTCATGACTTGGCAGCAAGTATAATGGAATGAAATAAGTTAATTTTGAAGACTAATCAATAACGCAATATTACATCTGTACAACGGCGAGACCGACATCAGACCGAGAACGGTCAGAACAAAACATTACATCGTATGGCTATGAGTCGGTCTGTGTGGAATGGGTTTGGCGGTGTGATTGCTGTATAACAAGAGACTCGCGGTAGTATTACCATGCTCCAAAGAGAAAAATAAAAGTATGATTATTCATATTAAGACGTAACACCTTTGAATATCTGTTCTCTTTTCACATTTATTCTCCAGATTGTGATAAACTAATAACAGACAGAAAGACAATAGTCACGAGTCCAGAGTGGCCTTCTAAGTATCCAAGCAATATGAACTGTACCTATAGGTTTGTAGGGGATCCTAGTAAGAAGATTACTTTTAGAGTTAAAGTATTCAAACTCCAAGGAAAGGAACCAAGGTGTAAGCACGATAAACTAGAGGTGAGTATTCAATATCTTACAGATCTATTTGTTAGTTTAAGAGTAATTATGTCCTTATTTTTGTTTATGATTGTTCACAAAATGATTAAACATCATTAGTCAGCAGGTTATTTTGAACAGGGTGTTTAAAAGTACCTAAGCCATAGCCAGTCTGATTTATTTAATTAATTCTTACAAAGTAAAAGGCTAAAAGCATGAATGTAAGCATAAGAAAATGATAAGAAAACTTTGAAATTTTGCTCCACACCTGCTCTATATGTATATCAACATAGAATAATAGAAATGAAATGCTTTTGAAGAAACATATGAAATGCAACATGTTTATCTATATACTCCCTTCTTTTTTCACCTCTCTCTCTTTCTTTATCTCTCTTTCTCTCTCTCTCTCTCTCTCTCTCTCTCTCTTTCTCTCTCTCTCCATCTCCCATTCTCTTCTGTCGGTCTACATTTTATTTATCAGTGTTGTTGATATCGAGACTTGTGGTCTTAATCTTGGTCTGAGACCCTCTGGTCTTGTTCTTGGACTTGAATACAACGTATTTTTTTTATATTTATTCATTAATTTTATTTAATTATGGAAACACTTGCTTCAGCCAAATCTATGCACATCCTTTTCTTTAAAACCTCACTTCTTCCCATCCATGTACAGTATTTCTGAAATATTTATTTTTTCGTTCAACTCTCCATTTTACCCCTTGTCCAGATGATAGATCTATTAACCAATGACAAGCTAACTCGATGTGGTACATCATCTTCTAAGTACAGCATACGTCTCTCGGGATACGATGGGTTAATTCGATTCACTTCAGATGATAATGTACAACTTGCTGGGTTCAAACTCATCGTGTATATTAAATAAAAATGAATTTTTGTCAATATGCCAAAAATGTATTCATTCTCTAGAAAACTATTTGATAGAAAGCCCTACATTAGAATGGTATTGTGTACCCAATTTTTAATTTGGACATTGTTGGAACTTGGATTTTGGAATTGGCTTGCTAAAAAAGCAAACTAAGCTAATTGATCTGACTATGACGAAATATTTTGGAAAATTGGTTTCGGTTCGGTATGATTGAATTATCATTTCGTTGGACAAAATTATTCTCCTGCAATGACCATAAATGTTCGGATCAGATAATGAACATACTTCTAATGTGGGGCTTTCTTATGTTTTGTTTTTCTCGTTACACAATTCCAAAAGTACTAATTGTTGTAATTACTTTTTATTGCTATGTTGTCATTGCGTACCCTTTGGTTAGGCAATGTTATTGATAAGGAAGAGCGTGGTAAAGTCACGATGTTTTACTCATTCATGTATCACGAACGTTATTCCGATATTGAATAACATCATGCATCACAAACATCATATTCCTCTTTTTGTGGATAGGATTTTGATGATTCAATTCCTTGTAATGTTTTGCCCATATTGCAAACACTTGTTTTCTTGTCAATTTTAAAATGCAGGACTAATCTGCCACGAGGTCCATTATATTATGTAAATAACAAATCTTGCCATATTTTATCATATTTTACATATTCTAATGGAAATACATTCAATGTAAATGCCATAATTCATGCCCTTTATATCTATAATGTAGATATCGATTTTAATATTGATATTTTGTATTTAAAAAAACTATTTGGAAAAAATATTGATGAAATTGTTACAATTGCCTTTTGGAGTATAGAAACGAAAAGAGGAAAGATGAAAGGGGAAAAAAAGTTGCGGTATAATTTTGTGAAAGAAGTTAAGATACGTTTGGACATCAACGGTAAACAAAAGTGTATGTGAGTTTGATTATTTTGTTTTAATAAATAAAGTGAAAAAAAAAAAAAAAGATTCATGCCCTTGTTTTCTTGGCAGGTATTAAGATATCTAAGTATTGGAGCATATTTTTAAGTTATTATTATTCATTGGGCTGTTAAGAAATGCAATGTCGCTGTCCACTATTTTAAGAAATAATCAAATTAATCTAAATAAATGTGGAACCATAGAATGTGAGGCTTCGCGTCAAGGGACGGTATATATTTATGTCATCGTAATCTATTATATCATTATTGGATAATATTTCTTGCCCATAATACCTCAATTATATTTATCTTTATAGCATTTATTTGTTTCAGTTATTTAGTTAATATTGTTTTCTGAAAATGTGTGGTCATGATGGTCCTATAATTACATTCTACACTAGACTTCATGACAATCCTTTGTCACAAATCTCTTATCTTATTTATTCATGGTATAATACAATTATGATTAGTAGTCAACGGCTGAATCGTTCACATTTGACAAACAATTTTTTTTTAAATACATAAAATACAATATTAAAAATTGTAAAATATACAAACGCTCGATGATTCTCAATGTACAAAGAACACTTAAATTATTTAAGAAGAACAAATCTCATAATGAATCTCATGACAATGCGTGTATATACAGATTTTAACAGCAGAATCATGAAGAGAAAAAACGTATTTACTGCACATAAGTAAAACCATGACAAGAATTGTCTTCAATACAAACTCTGGGCTCATAGGGCATATCATTTTACCAAGATGTATATATCATGTCGATTTATGTTAGTTATTTATTTTCAGATGTCAGTTTACTTGAATATATATTTATTGTTTGATGTTACTTGCTTTCAAAACAATTACAATTTTATTTTTGCCGATTTCGAACCTCTATGTGCTGTTAGTCTTTTGTCTGTATGAAGTGTTTTCTTTTTACATAACAAGACTTTACTTTCGATTTTAATAATGACGTATATTCCCAGTCAATAGTTTCCAAAAGCCATACAGTAACCTTACAATTTCTCATAGTTCAAATTGTATTCATCATTCCAACTTGCTAGGAGTAAGAAATGGGAGGGGTCTTATAGAACATGGTAAAAATCAGCCTAAGTACGAGTTACAAGCATTCCACATTGTCTTCCACGAAATCACGATCAGGGAAAAATAATTTGCAATAAGTTATTTAAAATATATATCATTTTGAAGAGTAAAAGGAAAAAAGAAACGGAATGATATAAACGCAAGGGAAAAAACTATATCCTTGTGAAACATTTCTTTATTAAAAATTACAGCTAATTTTAAAATCGCGTCCGTCATAATTCAAGAACAAATTTATGCAGAATGCAATTAATAATCCAATCAGCGGAATATTGATATGTATAAATTAAGTTCAACTAAATGCAATGAATTTCCAACCACTGAAGAGCAGTTTTAGTCAATAAATATCACAATTTAACTAAACCCAATAATTCGTCTGTTCTTGGGTAATAATTGGTGTAAAACTATACCTCACTTAATAAATTATGCAGCGTTAGTAACACGTGACCATCTGAAGTAGCATAGTCACGTTAGTTCAATTTGGAGCAATAAGAAACGAGAGCCAGGCCGGAGAATGACTAAAATAATGTAATTCTCTTGAACATGATGTCATCCTCTGTCCAAACACTCTTCCGATAGTGATGTCGGCATGGCAACATCCCAAGCTTGCATCACCGAAACTCTGTCGTCCAAGCCCGTCCAAGCTGGCTCATGATAAATTTATAGTCTGACTATATCATCAGTAGTACTACGAATGTTGAATAAATTCCTCATAGCCTCTCATACACTGCCAAATGTACTCATTGCAAAATGTATGTCCATTATTCTGACGTCACGATGTTTCGGGAAAGCTGTGACGTCATGCTGATCGGCTGGCACAAGGGGCTTGTGGGATATGGAATACATTTGATGCAAACGGGTCCATCCAAACTATGGTTAAAAGGCTATAATGGGAAAATAAACAAGATAAACCATGAATGTAGAACTTGTTACAACCGTTTGATTGGAATGTTTCAATATCTGTCAGGTTCATGTAAGCGAGACAACATCAGCAACAAAATAAACACCAATATGTTTATTGGTTCTCTTTAAAGGTAATGTAATGTTTCTGGAAATTCCGAAAATTGGATGGATAGCAATTCTTTGAAATTCTGATATATTTGGATGGGGCATTCAAATATATCAAATATATCCAAATATATCAAAATTCTAGTGCTTATAATACGTCCATAGGGGTTATGGCCGTAATATAAGCACTAGAAAATTTAGCACCCAACACACTTCTGCTTTCGAGAAATTGAAGAATCAGAATTTATCGGTGCTCCCGATAAATTTCAAATATTTCAAATAGCGCCTACGGCCATTCCATGGTAGCTGCGACCATGAAAATCTCACAATATGCAGATCTGATATATAAAGTAATATCAGTCTTGAGAGGGAGCTATACAACATAAAGAGTTTATTGTGATCACTGTCTTTAGACTCGATTTCAACCGCGACAACAATCATTGAATATTGTAAACTCTCATATGCTTCCAATATGTTAATTTAAACCATATTTATGACCCCATACCAAAACTTTGTATTACCTTTAACATTTGTTCACAAAACGCAGTTTCGGGTGTTATTTTACGTTTATTTGGCAAACAATTTTAAAAGAACCTTAAAATGTTAATGCATTTGCCAAACAACAGTTTTATACAAAAGCAGGCAAGTTTTCTCCCACCAGGATGTACCGTTGATTGTTTTCCATACGCACAATGTACCATAAATGGAAAACTTTTAGAAATTGACAAATTAATTTTGTTAGATCCTGGCGATTATAAATTTGAGTTACAAGCTTTATTCTCCTATACCTAACACATCAAATCATGGAAAATATAGATAAAAGTGATTCTAAACAAGTTACCACAGAATCAGGTACGTTTTAATTGCTCAAATAGAATGTGTTTGATAAGGGAGGACTCAAATAGGTTGAAACATCCCCCACTCCCTGCCTTTTAAATACTTACTATGTTCCGTAGCTAGCGATGAAGAAGCTTACGATGACACCGACCAAGTCGTCAATGATAGCCAATGTCTCTGATGACTCGCCTAGGACGGAGACGACGATACCAGTGATGGCCAAGATACATGCAGCTAAAGAATTCACTCCTAAATGAAAACCAAAACCAAACTGCATTTCAGTCGGGTCGTAAAACTTTTCGAAGATCTAATCAATAAATCATGATGCCATTCTGACCAGGCTATATACTCATAATAGGGGAAGCGAATTCCATGGACTAAAAAAGTTCATTTGGTAAGCCCATTCACATTTTTCCGATTGCATGTGATTGTTTTGTTTTAATGTGTGCTTTATTTTAATTCTCTACTGATACCAACACTTAAATTTAGTTTGATAAAAACTACAGCTGCTGCTTTAAACGTACATCGCTACCAACAAGCAATGTTGATCATTTTTCTCAGAAAAGGCCTCTTTGATTATATTCCGCTGGATACTTTCCTGTGAACTAACTTACCATCAGCAATGAGAGCCGAGCTCTTGAGCACCACTGCGATGGGTGTTTTGGTGAGGAAGAAAAAGAACTGTAATCCACACCCAATACCCAGTAGAATGTAAATTATCTCACTCTGCATGAGGAGAAGAGATAGATAGATAAATAGACAGAGAGTGTGTGCTAAGAGTAGATATATAAATAGATAAATTGATAGATAGGTTATTTATACGATTCGATGGATAGATAACGAGAGAGTGGGAACGGCAACAGTACAATAATAAAACATGCATAGTGATAGTAGTAGTGGTAGTAGTAGTAGAATACTAGAAGTAGAAGTCGTAGTCGTAGTAGTAGTAGTAGTAGTAGTAGAAGTAGTAGTAGTAGTAGTAGTAGTAGTAGTAGTAGTAGTAGAATACTAGAAGTAGAAGTCGTAGTAGTGGTAGTAGTGGTGGTAGTGGTAGTAGTGATTGTAGTAGTAGTAGTGGTGGTAGTAGTAGTAGTAGTAGTAGTAGTAGTAGTAGTAGTAGTAGTAGTAGTGGTAGGAGTAGTAGTAGTAGTAGTAGTAGTAGTAGTAGTAGTAGTAGTAGTAGTAGTAGTAGTAGTAGTACTAGTAATAGTAGTAGTAGTGGTAGTAGTAGTAGTAGTAGTAGTAGTAGTAGTAGTAGTAGTAGTAGTAGTAGTAGCAGGAGTAGAAGTAATCGTAGTAATAGAAGTAGTAATGTCGATGGTGGCAATGGTATGATAAAATCTTTTCTAAAAATTGATATTGAGCAATTGCGAACAATAACAATAGGCAAATAAAATTGGTTCGCTGCTGCTAAAATGATGTTATTACTGGCCTTATAATGATAATCTTTAACAGTCAGAGAGAAAAGATTCTTGATGGAATTATTCACAGTAAGTTTATCATACCTACCTCTTTTTCATCTTGTTCATCAAGGTTGTAAAGATATAACATAGCTCGTATCAAGATGAACATGGCAGCTAACCAAAACAAGCAGCCAATTAATACCTGTGATCTGAATAAAAGTTTAAAAAGTTTTTCGTACGGTAATCATTTTGTCAGGGCGCATGTTCATGTTACTGGTCTAGCGCCCCCTTTCATTGAGGTGATGAGATGGTTCAGTTCTCAAATGGTGTCCCCTTTTTTAAAGTTTATAAATAGATTTCACTTAATTGCCTTTTAATAGACCTGTTTGCTGATTTTCGTTACAACTTTTGAACAAACTTTTCTCTTGACAACTAAAGAAAATATCAGAGGCTTGTCCGTCATAGCAGGGACTATACAGTATACAAAGTGAGTTCCATCCACAGAGATGCCATTATGATGACAGGTTAATGGCTAGTAACCACCAGGGGTTATGGATAGAAACATGCATGAATTCAGTTACCTTAGTAAACAGTGTGAAAGCTGAATAAGCATATTATGATGATATTGACCGTTCTCATCGTACTGGGAAGCGCACTGGACAACGGCCGCGATCCATCATTGTTAAACTCTGTACCTATCGGAAACGCAACGAAATCATCAAGGCACGCAAGAAGTTGAAAAATACTGGAATAACAATACAAGAGGATTTGACCCCACAAAATGCAAGTTTGTACAAGAAAACCTATCAGTCATCTAATGTGGAGTCTGCCTGGACACATGATGGAAAAATCATCGCCTTGGTGAAAGCTAGCGGTGGAAAAAAGGTAACTAAACTTATCGGAAGTGAACTTGATCTCCGATCGCTATGAATAAATCAGTTCTCATCATGAGGGGATTTGATCCCTCTGCTATGTTATGACTATGAAGAAAAAACAATATATATACACATATATATATGTCTCTGGATGCAATTCCCTTTGTCCACTTTTGTTCCCCATTTATATATTTTTTTCTTTCTTAATTCTATTATTTATTTTTGATATATTCTGTGTTTAAGTGTAATGTCACGATTTGCATGTGTAGTATGTGAAAGGCAAAAATCTGATATAAATAATCTTACATGTCATGTTTGTGAAGATAACTTAGTTTCCTTACGGGCTCTGGAAGATGATTTTGGTTTAAATACATGTTACTATACAACATCAGACTATAATAAGAAAATTCATGATTCAAATTCCGAAGAGAAATTTTTAACCGTTGCCCATTTTAACTGTAGAAGTTTGAAGAAGAATATTGACAGTCTTGAATATGTTTTATCAGAAATCAAATGTCCATTTTCTATAATAGCAGTATCTGAAACTTGGTTAAAAAATGATGAATTTGTAAACATAAATGGTTATGGTTACCAGTTTGTTGGAGAAGGGAGAGCCGAGAAACGTGGTGGAGGAGTAGGTTTTTATATAGGGACTGGCTTGAAATTTAAGAGACGTTCAGATCTTGATATTTTTAATGACTTTATTGAAGTTCTTTTTATTGAAATATACTGTAAATATTCAAATAAAATTCTTGCTATCTTCTATAGACCACCTGCTCAATCAGTTCCTCTTTTTCTAAATGCATTAGAATTACCACTGCATCAAGTAACAACAGAGGAGAAAGAATGTATTTTAATTGGCGATTTTAATTTAGACTTGTTAAAGGTTTTTTCGTGCAACAATGTAAATAGTTTTATTGATATTTTAAAGACTTATTCTTTTGCTCCCTTGATTCTTAAACCTACAAGAATAACTACACAATCTGTCACCCTCATAGACAATATATTTACAAACAGACCTGTAAATAATATCAATGCTGGGATACTCCTCACTGATGTGAGTGATCATCTCTCTATTTTTTGTCAATTGCAATTTCTCTTTCATGATGATGATCCTGGTGCAATATACAAGCGTGCAATAAATGACTCAAATATTTCTATGTTCTGTGAAAGGCTACTTATGACAAACTGGGGTGAGATTTTAAAATTTGATTATGTTAACGGTGTTTTTGATGTTTTTATGAAATATTTTCTTGAAACGTACAATAAATGCTTTCCATTTCAAAAAATGAAAATAAAACAGAGACAAGAAAAGCCTTGGTTTGATGCTGAACTTAAACAAATGTGCAAAAAGAAAAATATTTTATTTCGGAAATATATCAAAAATCCATCTCGTTATCGGAAAAATGTATACTCGTGTTATAGAAACGTTGTAAACAGTGAGATACGAAAACATAAACGAGAATATTATTTTTCCAGATTTAAACGTGTCAAAAGTAATATTAAGGCAACTTGGAAAACCATAAATGATATTTTAATGAAAGCTCGGGAAAAAATGCAATGTGATTTTATTGAACAAAATGGTATACAGATACATGATAAACAGGCCATTGTCCAAGCCTTTAATAACTTTTTTAGCACTATTGGTAAGGACACTGTAAATAGTATACCTGATGCCTCTGTTGATTTCATGCATTTTTTACCTAAAAGGGACTTTTCGAAATCTATATTTATGAAACCAGTTGAGATTTCTGAAATATTTGAAATTGTTAAAAAACTTGAATCATGTAAAACCCCAGGATATGATGATGTTAATATTGCTGTTCTAAAGAAATCTATTGCTTCATTTGTTATACCGCTTTGTAATTTATTTAATATGTCTTTACACGTTGGTGTCTTTCCTAATGCTCTCAAGAAGGCTAAGGTAATTCCTGTGTACAAAAAAGGAGATAAACATATTTTAAATAATTATAGACCGATATCAATTTTATCTACCTTCTCAAAAATCTTTGAAAAGCTAGTTTATAGTCGTCTATTTTCCTTCTTATGTAAAAAAGATATATTATACCATAAACAGTATGGGTTTAGACAAAATTACAGTACATATATGGCTCTTTTGGATTTTACGAATATTATTGCTAAATCATTTGAAGATAAAAAAGTTGTTATTGGAATATTTTTAGATCTTACCAAAGCATTCGATTGTATAAGTCATCAAATATTATTACAAAAATTACAATTTTATGGTATTCGGGGTTCTGTATTAAAGTGGTTTTCCAGTTATTTAAATAATAGAGTACAATATGTATGTATAAATAATTTATCTTCTGAGATTGCACATAACCCATTTGGTGTCCCTCAGGGATCAGTATTGGGTCCGTTATTGTTTTTATTGTATATTAATGATATTCAATTCGTAAGTGATATCCTACAGTCGATAATTTTTGCAGATGATACAAGTTTATTTTTGTCTGGTAAAAATATTGATTTATTGTGTTTTACTGTAAATACGGAACTTAAAATGATTGATACTTGGTTTAAAGCAAATAAATTAAAATTGAATGCACAAAAAACATGCTGTATGTTATTTCAGCCCAAAAACAAAAATATTAATACATCCTGTATGGAAATAAGTATCAACCAACAAAAAATATCGATAGTAAATTCTACAATTTTTTTAGGAGTAAGAATTGACAACAAACTGACTTGGAAAGAACATGTACATTATGTATCATGTCAAATATCTAAAGCTATTGGTGCAATGAACAGATTAAAAAAAATTGTACCTTTTAATATTCTTCTTAACCTGTATAATACCATGATTCTACCCTATCTTATCTACTGTAATATTGTGTGGGGAGATTGTGCTAAAACTCATTTAAATCGAATTTTAATTCTTCAGAAACGGGCAATACGAATTATTTTTAACTTACATCCTTTCTCCCACACTGCTCCTATATTTAAAAAACACAGTATATTAACAATTTATGATATACATAAGCATCAGATTGGTATCTTTATGTTTTCTTACTCTAAAAATATACTTCCAAAGTTTTTAGATGACTGTTTTATTTGTAATAGAAATGTGACGAATTATGAAACTCGTCAATCAAATCTTTTCCACCTTTCAATGTATACTTATGATTTCTCAAGAACAACAATTATTTATGCCGGACCAAAATTATGGAACAAATTACCTCAAGAACTCAAAATTTGCCCAACTGTATCAATTTTTAAAAGAAAACTTAAGAAAAATCTTGTAAATGAATATGTATAATTACTATCATATTTTACATAAATGCCTTTTCTGTTTCTTGTCTTTTTGTAATGGATTTGTCCGGTTTAGTTTTGTTTATTGATGCTTTGTGTTATTTTAATCTCTGTACATTTATCTCGTTTTTAATAAATCTAAGAAATTTTTTATGTAAATTTTATAATCTTTGGGAATAACCCTGATAGGCCATTGGCCTTTGTTTTTCCCCACCACATTATGATTTAAATTGAAGATGTTTCATTTTAACGTTTGTTAATGTATATATATGCATATAAATTGTACTTGTGTTTTTTAAAATCAAATGTGGAAATAAAACTTGAACTTGAACTATATTCAAAAAATCATTTAAAATAATGAATTAGTGTCAGAAATGCAAAGAGTTTTATAAATATATCGAATAAATAAACTGAGAAGAGGTTCGAGTTACTTACTGCAATTCTCGAATTCTTGATTTTCGTACGGAGACTGTGGAAAACGATCTCCATATGACGACCATTGCTCCTGAAGAATCCAATAAACAACTGAACTGCAAAGATGAAAAATTAATTCCGTTGATTTTCAGAGAGCAAGTTTTGAATCCAAGTTTAAACTCGAAAGAAAAGGAGAGACACAAATTGCTAGAACATCGTTTCATCGTTGCTCCCCAGGAAGTGGAGAATGTGCGGGTCACGGTAAGCCTGAATCCGATGACCGGGGTAATAATATATTTGTAAAGCGCTTAGACACATCGTTGTATTGATGTATTGGGTGCTATATAAAAGCGGGGTATTATTATTATTATAGGGGCCTAATTAAATGTAATGGAAGATTTGTTGCTATAAGCAGGTGCACTGGGGTTAGTGAAACCATTGATAATAATCAATAAAAATAGGAATATAATTGTTTTCTAGTAAAATGATTGACAGGCATTTTTTTATCAGGATTGCGTTCGCTTGAATTTCATTTTGGTTGCCTGTCGCGTTGTTGCTATGGCGACAAAGCACTGGCATGTGGAGACCCCAAACTTTGGAACGCTCTCCTAGTATATACGCTCCGTTACAAACGTCGTAGTATTCATAAAAGTCTTTAAAACTTATATTTTGATAAGGGGTACCATCGGTTGTTAATTGCACTTTGTAAAGCGCATTGTGAGGGCCTACGGTCCTATGCTATATTCAATTCAAATTAACATTTTTTTTCTTCCATTCAATTTGACAACATATTTGACATCTGTTCAAACAATACAATTTATACGTAGGAACATAAATACAATTAAATGTAAGAACTTGTATTACAAGGAAGAAGGCGCGAATCCCAGTAAGCATAGCTGGTATTGGGTACGCCCGAATACACAAATATATAATATATTTATTATCTTTATTATTGTAAAGAATTAAAACCCATGCTCGTAATAGACCGATAAAAAAATGTAAATCCTTGCAACATGAAGGTGACCCACCCTCCCCCTTGATTAAAAGGGTAGCTCTAGCTGATACAAATGTCTTATCATGATTGTGTACACTAGACCTTTGATTTCTTTGAATGAAACCTGGACTCCTGATCTCACCTAGACACAGGCTACTCACGTCTTATCATCCATGATGTTACGTATGAATCTCACCATTCTATTATTGTTATCTTATAGGCATGACCGCCTTGGATAAAAGTGTATTGACATGTCGGGGAAACCCCGGAATTCAAACTTTGCGCAGTTCACGACCGACTAACCTTTGGATAGACTTCAGATATATTATAAGAAAATCTATTTTTATAAAATTATCTGATTAATCAATTGATAATTATGATAGAACATTCTCACAGCTATACTAACATGGTTCTACCAAGCTACCTATTATTAACTGATTAACATACCTTTTCGCTACCCCCCTCGTCGTTTTCAGACTTAATGAAACTGATTTAAATGCATGTAGTTTTAATATCAATTCTTCTGCAGAGGATCTTGCATAAATCTATAATCAAGTGAAGATCTGGATTAGAATGGACGGGAAAGGAAGAAGCAGGAGTTTTGAAGTTACTGATTAACTCTTCAAGATCCATACCGGTGGCATCAGGCGCGTACGCAGGATTTTTTGAAGGGGGGGGGGGGGTTTTAACATTTATAAATCGGGCCGAAAATTTCGCAACGACTCAGCCAGCCGCTGAATAAACGGGGGGGGGGGGGGGGTAAGAGGACACTTTTTTTTTCTTTTTTTTTATCCCAAAAATATCGCAACGACTCAGCCGATCGTTGAATAAGCGGGGGGGGGGGGGGGGGGGGGGGGTAAGAGGTCACTTTTTTTTTTTGGTCTCGAAATTTGAAATTTTGAAATTTTGCTCCGTTGGGGGGGGGATCCAAGGGGGGGGGGGGGTTTACACACAAAAAAAATACCAAAAGGGGGTTTAACCCCCCAACCCCCCCCCCCCCCCCCCTGTGTACGCGCCTGGGTGGCATTATAGTCAAAATACATGTACCGTGCACATTGACAACTCGTTTTCCATATAACTTCAATTTATCGTCCTTATTCACTGTTAAATTTGTTTAATTGATGATGATTATGGTGACACTTATCGTTCATGGTCACATGTTGTGTAATGCCACCTCTTGTATCTAACGAAAGGTATTTCTCACCTGATAGAAAGAGCGTCGTTGCTGTCTCCCTGATTTCAGCAGCCTATACTGGAAATACTGCCAAGTTGACTCCTTCACTGAAAGGTCATTCCTAACAGGCCCCATCTGCCCCTCGTCATTTTCAGACTTAATGAAACTTTTATTTAAATGCATGTAGTTTAATATCAATTCGTCTCCAGAGGATCTTGCGGCATCTTCTTCTCAGTATGCCCACAGTTTCACAGAAAATTGCAAGAAATTGATAAAAATATGTTTAAACATTATATGGAAGAACATTCCCCGGCCCATACCCTAAAATTAGCATTGGCAAATCGAAAATATTCATCATCCATAGATACTTACAGCAAACGCAAAAAGTGACGAACTTTCTGATCTGGAAGACTCAACTGAATATCAGAAATAAGATAAAAACCAATAAAATAATCATTCATAAGATGATTGGCAATGCAAAGACTTGGTCAGTGGTGGCAGAAGAAAAGTCATTTATTTCTGGGAGAAATACTAAATCAAATTTCATGCATATGCTTCATCTTCATTATTATATCCCCTTGTCACTTCCTATCCTCATCTTCCTCTTTCTCATCCTCCTGCTCCTTCTTCTTTTTCTTCTTCTTCTTCTTCTTCGTCTTCGTCTTCTTCTTATTCTTCTTCTTCTTCTTCTTCTTCTTCTTCTTCTTCTTCTTCTTCTTCTTCTTCTTCTGCTTCTTCTCATCGTCTTCTTCTTCTTCTTTTCTTCTTCTTCTTCTTCTTCTTCTTCTTCTTCTTCTTCTTCTCATCTTCTTCTTCTTCTCATCTTCTTCTTTTTTTTCAAGAACTTCTTCTTCTTTTTTCCTTCTTTATTTTCTCTACCTCCTCTGCCTTTTGATTTGTTTTCATTTTATTTTATCTTGTCCTATTCTTCTTTTTCTTATGTCTTATTTAAAAAAACTTTCTCGTCTGCTTCCATACTTGAACAATGGCTAGGAAGTTGTACTAGTACAATCTTGGTTATAATTATGATAGTAATTGACTCAGATTGACTCAATGTACTTACTGAAGCATGCTACACCCAGTAGGATGAGCAGAGCTGCTGAGATATAACCCAAAATCCTGGCTATTCTCCACAGGCGGGCATCTCGTTGTGATAGCACAAACTCAACACTCGGCTCATCTTGGTCTGCAGTTGAAGCTACAAAAGATATATTTAATAAACTTACAAGTATAAGAGGAAATATATCATTGGTTGGGGTGAATAATTAGAGCAGGTGCTATAGCTTCTACCATCCAAGTATTCATCCATTCGACCAATCAGTGCCAATGATAACTTAGCTTGGTATAGTCCTAATCAGAGGATGGAAACCGACCTGCTAAATTACATATTATGGTTGGTAAAATCTTAAACCGCATCAGTTACAAGTGTAGTGGTAGTAGTAGTAGTAGTAGTAGTAGTAGAGTAGTAGTAGTAGTAGTAGTAGTAGTAGTAGTAGCGGTAGTGGTAGTGGTAGTAGTAGTAGTAGTAGTAGTAGTAGTAGTAGTAGTAGTAGTAGTAGTAGTAGGAGTATGAGAAGAGTTGTAGTATTTTTTTCTTTCATTTCCAACAAAATAAAATAAAGTACATGGGATTGCATTGTACATAGTAAAACAATGAAACTTAACAATATATATGTAATTGGTCCACAGTGTACAATAGTAGTAGTATTATTAATAGCTAGCGATAGTTTTTAAGGTAAAGTCGTGAAATCGATATTTTTGATGTTCTTAATGACACTCCAAAAACTGAGAAGCTAAGCAGAAAAAATTACAAGATTTCGAATATAACTTACCATTCGTGTCATTTCCTTGTTTGTTTGGTTCAATGGTAGTACTTCTGCTATCCTCATCAGAATATGAAATTACCAGACTACTACTCTTACCAATCAGCCGAGTTCGCTCGTCAACTTCGTAAATAGCTTGCTCTAAATTTCCGTTTGAATCAAACTTTTTCTCATCGTTCGAACCAGAACCAGATGATAAACTTATCCTATTCCTATCCATTCTCTCCAGATTTGTTGGTATTTCGTCCCCGACAATAAATAATTCAATCTTGTTTCCCTTTTCGAAACTTCATCGAGTTATCCTCAAACTCGTATCATTTCGACATCTCAGCGTGAATGTGATCAATGACACTTGCCTAAAAGTTTATTTGAAGAAAAAGTGAAAACAATTGCCTTCGTTTTACGTAAGGAGTTTGAATCTTATTGAAAAAAGGTCACATACTGAACAATCGTATAATCCATGACACAGAAACACTGAATGGACGTTTTCAAGTTAGAAGCAATGTGTCGTCTCGCCTTCATTATCTGTTTATTTAGATCGTACACGGTACGGATTTGTTTAAATCAAGGTTAATTAGTTATTTTACTTATCGTCTACTGATTAGTTCTTAAGATATTGCGTTAGTTCAAAGGTGGATGTTACAAGCTACTGAGAAGAGGGAAGTAAACCGGTAAAGGGTAAGACATGAGTTGCTAAAATACAGGAATGAGTGGAAAAGAATTTGAACAGAAATCAAATGGACAGGAGTTATACTGGGTAGACGAGTAGGCTTTGTAAGAAAGCTGATATAAATAAATATATGATTGTTCACTGAATAACCTATTATTGGTTAAATATCCGTCTTTACACTGTGTAATCTGACGTGAATTGAAATGAACATTTTCGAGTCATTAAAGACCGCAAGTGCATTTCCTTTATATGATAATAATATTAACATTAATACATTTATAGAGCGCAGAAACTATCCAACATTAAGTATATTTTCAACTGCACTACGAGAGCTCCTGATATGCTTAGATTTACAGTTAATTGAAAAGATGTGATTTCAGTTTTTATTTAAAGATATACACAGATGGTGATATCATGGTCTAGATAATGTCAAGATAATATGTATTGTATTAATGTTTTCTTCCTCGCTGAGTATTCAGTTTTCCAACTTGAAAACCCCAACACTAATTTAGATTGGTAGGTATTTCAGACTGCGGGAGTTCGGATGCGTCGCATGTGATGGGTTTTCTGTGACAGTCTTTAATGATTCAGAAGGGTCACTATATGACACCAGTCCATTCCAGCTCTTATCATCGTCATTATCATCATCAATATCAATATGGTCATCATCATCACCATAATCAGTATCAATAGAATTACCATCACCATCATCATCACCATAATCAGTATCAATCGAATTACCATCACCCTCATAATCATCATAACCAGTATCAATCGAATTACCATTACCATCACCATCATCATCATCACCACCACCACCATCACCATCATAATCAGTATCAATCGAACAACCATCACCATCATCATCATCATCACCACCACCACCACCATCATAATCAGTATCAATCGAATTACCATCATCACCATCATCACCACCACCACCACCATCATCATATATCAGTATCAATCAAATTACCATCACCATCATCATCACCACCACCACCACCATCACCATCATAATCAGTATCAATCAAATTACCATCACCATCATCATCACCACCACCACCACCACCATCACCATCATAATCAGTATCATTCGAATTACCATCATCACCATCTTCGTCACCACCACCACCACTATCACCATCATAATCGGTATCAATTGAATTACCATCCCCATCATCATCATCACCATCACCACCACCACCATCACCATCAGTATCAATTGAATTACCATCACCATCATCATCACCACCACCACCATCACCATCAGTATCAATTGAATTACCATCATCATCATCATCACCACCACCACCATCACCATCAGTATCAATTGAATTACCATCACCATCACCATCGCCATCATCATCATCACCACCACCACCACTATCACTATCATCACCATCACTATCATTATCATAATCATCATTTTTATATCATTTATGTCAAAGCCTGAAACTGTTACTTTTCATTCACTAAATAACAACAATCCATTTAATAATAGACAAAACATAATGATATATGTTTTACCTAGATATGCCTTTAATACTGATCTGCAAAATTTTATCTATCTGAATATCACAAATGTGAAAAAGAAATCAAATGAAAGTATGACATAACCATAGATACATATCAACAATAACAAAACATGTACGTGAAAATTATAAATTTTAGCATCATTATTTACAAATATATATATCATACATACACAATTCATATCACGATCTTAACACTTTAAACAAGAATAAGAAAGATTTCCTCTCTTTATATATTGAACAACAGTAATATAATAAAGAACAATTTACAAAGAAGTTTGATCAATGTGAAAATTAATATATCCATGATATTTCCATACAAGAAAGTGAATCTTGTTCATGTCACAAAAATAGATCATATCATATCTGAGATTGATTCTTATCACCATGCAATAGCTGAAATACCTCAATGCAAGATTATATAACAAGATAGCTTCGAGTTCCATGTTTTACTGCATCAGTGAGGAAACATGCATGTATGAAAAGTGTTTTCATAACTCATTCTACATGCAAACTCATTATATACAGCAATTGAAATCTTAAATAGAGCATCTCCATCCATATATAACTCTACCCTTATCCTAGCTCTGTCTAAGACTTTAGAGAGGGCTGTATAAACTTGTACACAACATGTAAACCCATGACAAGGAAGCAGAAGCATCTTCAGTTGATGTAAATCCACATCAACAAAATATTTTCACATATGAGGCATTTAGACCAACTAATTCCTGGATAAGAGATCGTTTTTGTTAATGCTTCTCAAATCTTTAGCAAATTTGAAGGGTTGTATCTTTTCAAACACAATGTTATAATGCAAGCATTGCTACTACAAGCATGGCAGTAGTTCGTTAAACCTCCCTCAAGGGCTATATTCTGGATATAAAGATTTTTACTAAATTATGACCAACTACACTACTAAGCAATTGCACATTATTCTCTGAAGTTACTATTCTGCAAACACCAGATGTTGTATAAAAATGTATCTTATGCCAATAACTGATAAATTAAAAGTCAGGATACATCAACACTTGCACTCGATGTACCTGTTCTCTTTAAAGATTTGTTTTGCTTTGATTTTATCTTTTAATGCCTAGATCCCGTTTAAAACTTTCCCATTTCAGAAATTTATCTGATGTTTGCTTGTAACATGTTTGATAAACCCTTATCTAGACATGCAAAAACATACCCTGTTTAACTACTCTACTAATTAATCAGCCTCTGTAACCCTTCTTGAACCGAACCACAGGAATCTCTAGTGATGATGGAATGCCATATCTTTAATTAGTGTGGAACTCTTCTTGGCCGGCCGGCCTGAGAATGGTTCTCAAAGAAAACTGACCTCAACCAATTAGTGACCAATCAAGACATGTTGATAGAGAAGATGTGACAGGTGGGAGTCTGTCTCCATAGACAGATAATCCATAGAACAGACATAGACAGAGAGCAGGAGACACTGAGAGCGACAGAACGAGAGACAGACATAGAGAATGATGGGGTGAAAGAAAGGCGGAGGAATGGAGTCAGGGATAATAGAGACAGAAAGACACAAGAAAGAGTCACATTAATTTGAGATAGTTCTCCTAAAGCATAGAATACCTTGCAATACTGTCACCAGAATGATTATCCAATACTTTCCTCGTTGGGGGAAGAGAAGCAAGCCATTTGTTAATTAGTCCTATATTTTTTTACCAAGGGAGGCATTGGGACTTTTCATTTGTCACATCCACATGCATACCTCCCAACACTCTGTTGATGCGCAGTGAGAAGATGAGAGCATGTTTCCAAATGGACGATCCTTGTATATTTACTACTTCCATCCTACAAAATTCTCAATAAAGTCCTTAAAAACTTGCTTCAGTATTTCACAAGTCATCTTGAAACTTTGACTAGCATTATTTGTCTGATAGCAAGTATTCCTAAAAGAAAACCTCTTACAAGCAAGTAGGGGCAGTTTTGTGCTTGAGTGGGGAAAATGAAAAGTCACAGATTAGGAAGCTGAAATTGACCACCTAAGTAATGCCAAAGAAGAAATTGCATTCACTTTTACTTGGATAGATTCCATCTTCACCTGACACATAAATACACATTCCATGACTGGCTTATGAAGATTGAAAGGCAAGTAACAATAATAAATACAAAAACTGATGTCAGCATGTACATAATACCCAGAAATGCATGCCATCTGATGAAATGAAATGATATAAAAAGAAAGGCACAAATAAAAGATCAACTTCCACTACACAGATAATCTCTGATATAACAAGGATTCCATACAATAATCCATCATTACATCTAAAACAATATTCTATCCATACCACACTTGCAACAATATTTTTTACACTGCTGCTACTATTCTGATGTGATTTTCACATTTTATATTAAGGTACTTCTTTTCAAATGAAGTCTTTCTTTTTCAGTAACTCTATTTATGCCTCAAAGATGCTATACTAGAAATAGAGATAGTTGTTTTAACATAAAACCATTAAAAAAAATTGTGTTTAGCAAGCAGTGAAATGTTTGGAAACCACACAAATTTATATTGATGCAGTATCAAAATAACCGAAGATATGGGTAATGTTTCTGAGAATTACCAAAAATACAGATTACATTGTCTGAAAAAGACACTCAACTTTCATAACTACACATTTTCAACTGATACTAACATTTATATTTTGAATTTGGTAATTGTCATTTCACATAATAATTGTTTGATAATTCAATTCACTGCCAAATTGATAGAAGCAATGGCTCCCTCCAAACAGCCAAAACATTTAACAATACATGATGCATTTACATTAGCTGTATAAAGCAACATAATACCCTCTGAAGAATTCAAATTTTACATTCAGCAATAATTTCTTGGTCTATATACAAAGGTTACTCTATTTACAGGACTCTATATAAAACACAGGCATCAATTCTTAAAAAGACATGCCACATCTGTGATATATAGACAGGTCAGACAGAGGTTCTACTCTGATAATATATCAATGATAAACTTTGTAATGCAAGGTGACCATTTGATCCTTTACTCCAATGCGATTGAGCTTAGGCAAGTGTACTATTTAGCCTTCCATCCTCTCCAACATTTCTGCTTGGGTCACTGTAGGTTGAATACATTTTTTGCACTTAACTTTCCTGTTTTCTTTACTTTTTCTCAATACTGTTATTACTGCCCAGTTAATTCCCTCTACTGTGTTTTCCACATTCTTTCCAAACATAATCCTTGTATGCTGCCATATCATCTGCATATCTCTTTGTATATGCTTCACCAATGTTAGCTTTGGGTAAGCATTTGTCCTGGATCAAAAATCTGGCAAAATTAACCCTTACTGTACTGGGCTATTTCGAGCACTCTCTGACTGGGGGGGGGGGGGGGGGGGGGGGGGGGCCTGGGAGGCCCCCCCCCCCTATGATCTCGGCCGTCGAATGTCCGATGAACGCGAAAATTTGCGTGTTTGTAGATATTTACGTAAGGAACAAGATGGTATAATTAGTTTTTCGCTAATATGCAAATTTTTGTCGTTATAGCCTAATTAATTATGCAAAATGCTAATTTTATGCATTTTACAGAAAACTCTACATATTTGTCCGTAGAATTGTGAAGAATCTTGAAAATGTATTGAATAATTGTTTCCTTCATCTCAAATTCATGAGGTTTCATTATTTTTATGATATTTGAAAATTAATAGGTTAATTTGCATAAATTATGAATATGCATTCATGAATATCAAATCCGGAAATATATATCGGGAACTAGAATCCTTACAAAAATTGTCAGACTCACTTTTTGAATGTTGTTACTCATTATTCAAATGAAACTTCTTTTCTATCACAAAAAAGTTATTTGAAGTAATTAATAATGATAATTTATGCAAATTTGATGCAATTTTCAACTATTTATTTTCTTATGTATTTTATTGTTTTTTATTTCTTATAATATCTATTGTTTTATTTCTAATGTATTCTTTTGTTCTGAAATACATCAAGTTACTTTGAGTCTGAGAAACATATAAAAGCAATTTGATATCAATTCATAGCTTCACATTTCTGCTTGTACATGAATATATGCAATTATAGCACTTTTTTTATGACATGCGCATACTAATTGTTATGTAACACCTTACAGGTATATTCGATTTTTACGAAAATGGTATCAAAATGTGCGTAAGACTTGAGGGAAAAAAGTCATGAAACGACAATTCAAAATTCCGAGCGGTTGCGGCGCAATCTTCAAAAATGTCCCCCCAGTACAGTAAGGGTTAAGGGGTTTCTAAATGTCATAACAACTTGAAATCACAATGAATCATTGATTTCATATTTCTTTGTGTTGATATTTGTATGACTACAAACATATGCAGTCACCTAATGCAGTCATTAACCAACGACTCATCATAATTCAGATTTGTTGTAACAAATAAAAGACCTCTCACTAAAAAAGAAAGATTGTTTCAGAACTTTCAGTTACCTACGGACTGGGAACATGATGAAGCTAAAGAGCAATGATAGCACTACCAAGCTTGTTCTCTTCATGATTCAATCATGAAACCTTTTCATCTAGCTTGAAACTCTATGACAGCACATCCACTGCTAAACAGAGTTCACTCTTCATTACATACAGGAGATGCAAAGAGACAACAATATTTGCACAATTCTTGCCTCCTATCACTCGCAAATCTTCAAGGAACATGCTAATTGTCACTTCTCTGTCCTCTCTGTAAAACCCTACCACTTCTTTTACCCTCCTGATAAAGGGATTGCAAGCAGTTCTTAGAATGTATAAATGATCTTTTAGGCGATGATTTTCTCCCAATGATAAGGATCAGTTAGCTTGGGACATGTTTCAGAGATCTTCGTGACAGTGTAGAATGTATGAATGATGTTTTAGGCGATGATCTTTCCCAATGATAAGGATCAGTTAGCTTGGGACATGTTTCAGAGATCTTCATGAGAGTCTTCTTAACCCTGAGTGAGGTGTGTCGAGCTGAAGCGGTAGGACACCAACATTCCTTCATTAACTTGGCCATTGATGTTAACACCTGTACAATAGGAGGAACAATGATGAAGTAGTTCATTAGTTTCCAGCATCACTACTCAAACACACATAAAGAAAGAGATACAAGGGAAATCCATATATATAAACAATTTTCCCCAAAGACATTAAGTATTAATAAAGTTTTCTGTCAAAATGAGCAGAAACAAAAGCAAGAAAAACTTGTGATATGGGGTGCTGCTGATAAATAGAATAAAAAATAGAACACCATTTTCTGACTTCAATCTGTCCAGATTATCTAAAAGCTACATGCATGAACAGAATTTCACAGTATAGTTAATGTAAACTATCCTCATGAATGTACATGTTAAGAAATTGCAATGCTCTTCTGGTACTAAAAACTGTTTAGAACAACTTTAACAATGAAGGACATGGATAAGAAAATATACTAAGAAGATGATATATGAAAGAAGAATATCTTACTGTATTGTTGGTCCATCTGTTTGGTATATTTGGTCTGAGTTTCTCAATACAAGCAACTTTCCTCATATCATCAAAGCTTGGATCACTGGGTACATACTCAAAGAACGGAGGCTTGTAATCTGCTACCATACCTGCAAAAAATACAATCAAATAAGAAGAGAAAGTAATAGAAAGTTATTCCTGCTTGCTTTGGGAGATGAACACATCAATACCTTACTGTTCAATATTTAACGAGAAATGAAAATCACTTTAAAAAACATAATAAAAATCATTCTGCTACCACCATTGCTTTTTCCCCTTTTATTCTTTTTGTGGTAGGGGGATCTTGTGAGGAGAGATGAGAGGAAAGTTTTGGTAAATCTCGAATCTCTAATAGAATTCTACACAGTATCTCCATTCCGACGTGTCACATATCTGATCACATCAGCTCATCCATGATTATAGATAGTCACAAAGACACTGATTAGATCCATACAAAGAATGAGATATAGTCAGCATCTTAGAGATCTTGGGTGAAGCATTCCTCCTGAAATAGATGTGCCTGCTCCGACTTGACAGGCTTTATGCACCCTCTTTGCGAGCAAGGACATACTTTCTTAGCAATCAGTGAAAAAGATCAAATAGAAATACTTACCTCCTACTTCGCATCTCCTAGCAATTTCCCACATGACCAAGCCAAATGCATATACATCGACCCTCTTGAATGATTCAAAGCACCTGACATCCATGGTTTCCTCCAGTAGCTCCGGTGCCATGTACCTCTTTGTCCCAACCCTAGTGTTCGTTCCCATATCAATATTATCCTCCCTCTGCGTGTGCAGGACCGCCAATCCCAAGTCGGCGATGCAACACGTTAAGTTCCTCTTGACAAGAATATTTTTGGTTTTGATGTCTCTATGAGCGATGGCAGGTTTGCTGTTGTTGCATGTGATCTCGGTATGAAGATGAACAAGACCGCTGCAGGCCGTCAGCGCCAGGCGACACATCTGCCTTGCATCAAGCACATGACGGTTGAGGTAGTCGTAGAGGGAGCCCCGTTCATGGTACTCCATGATAAGCCAGAGTTGAGTGCAGGATTGACGTGAGGTCATGTCTGATGCAAAGAAGGCTAAGATGTTCTCATGTCGAAGCATGACGGTGTTGTAGATCTCTGTCTCACGGAACCAGGATTTCTCATCAATGGAACTGAAGATCTTGACGGCTACAGTGTCACCTTGCCATGTACCCATCCATACCTCACCGTATCGTCCCTTACCTACATGGACAGAAAGAAATTAAAACATGTCAAAATGCATCTGAGGTTGTACATAACGCATACAAAACCATTCATGTAAAGTTTGTAAACAAAGGTATTAAAGGAACAGCAATGGTATGGTTTACCATATATGTACATGTACATGTATATTCCATCATTTCATGGTATATCAAAACAAAAACAGAATTGGGAACTGCTGATAGAGATATGGTTCCTACTAGATTTATAGAAAAGAGAACAAAGTCCAGAATATGATAGGGTAACTGACTCTTTAGGGGGAAAGTTCATAATTTGACCATAAAAATATGGATCATTCATGTACACATAGTCAAGTTACATGCTGAATTTAGGTGAAATGAGACCATTCCACGATGACAATTTAAAATGTGGAACATAGTAAGATAAAAAGTCAGGCAAATGTCTTGAGAGAGAGAGAGAGAGAGAGAGTGAGAGATTGTGACCTACCGACTTGTTGAAGCAGGTTGATCTGTCTGGCTACTGTCCTCTGCACCAGGTAGGGAAGCCCAGATCCGCTGCCAGATGTATTAGAATGATCAAACAGGTCCTACAAGAAATACAAACACAATAGAGATTTATAAAGGTATCATGGAGCAGGATACATTTTTGTTGCATTGTACCACACATTTAGTCCTACCATCATTGCCCCATAATGCATTTTCAGACACAAATAGGAATTCCCAAATACATGTAGACATTGTAGATATACCCCTGGAACCTACATGTATATATACCTAAATCCTAATTCAACCCTAACCCTAAATTTTTAATGAAATAAAGCACATAGCAAAATAGCAAATGTTGATAAAACATACGTTAGATCACTGTTTCTTAGATTTTTATGGGATTAGTTCACATGAGGCTTACAGAGTACGAAGGTGTTACATATAATGTGCTCTGATGAGTTAATCCTAGCGTCCTATATGATGTCACTTAAGTTTGATGTTGTTATATCTCAAGCATGCACAGAAAGCCTACTAGAGTAGACCATCATGTGCCTGCCTATGGGCTGGACAGGGTACTTACAAAACAGAATAACCCTGGAGAACTAGTAAATTAAAACAGGAAAAAATAAGAGGAAGTGTAGATTAGTGACTCTGAAGTCAATTTCATTTTCCACGAGAATGAAAGAGAGAGGCTCCTACTGACAGGATAGCATTGGGATGTGTGTATTGTTCAATGATGCTATATTTATATGAGAGGATATGAAAAAGGATGTCAATATAGTAGTGAATCAAAAGACAGGTGAATGTACTAAAGAAGCATTATGTAGTCCTTTATGAAACATTTGCCCTTGTAAAGAGGGCACATTTATAATTGATCCATCATGAAAGGAAACTCTTAACATATGGACGTGGGTTGCATACTTAAGGGTTCAATTGTACTCTTTTATTAGTGAACATACAGTCATCTCAAATGGTGAATAAATGAACATTGCCTAATACTCTTTTCACACTGGTTTTGCTTAACCTCGTACTTTGCTTAGCCCCGTACTATCCTTAACCCCGGACTATTTTTTGGGGCTTTTCACACTCGCTGTTTTTAGTCCCGTACTAGCGCCTATTCCGGAATAAGAAAATTCCTGCTGTTCTCACTGCATTTCGTTAACCCCGGATATCGTGTATGTTATGATTGGACATACTTCGCATCTGGCCAGCTGCGATATGCTCCATTGCGTAGTACCGGACTATTTTTCGTTTCTGTTCTCATTCATTTGCTTAGCACCGCAATTGCGGGGTTAGCAGGAGTTAGCACCACAATTGCGGAGTTAGCCCTGCTATTTTGCAGGGTTAGTTAACTCGTACTATAGGTAGGGTTAGCCAACTTTAGCCCACTTTGGTAAAAACCAGTCTGAACAGAAAGTGGAATAGGCTTAACCCCGTACTATAGGTGGGGATAAGACCCCCCCTTAACCCCACCTATAGTACGGGGTTAAGCAAAATATTGCCAGAGTGAAAACAGTATAAGAATGCAAACCCTGAATAATCATCTTGAGTCTATATCATGGTCATACACAATTAAAGCTTTACATGAAGCAATTACTGCCTGCAGTAATTGCTACCAGTATTTTATTATTTGTAAAAACCTTTTTAATATCATAAAAAAGAAAAAGAAAGAAGTTAACAACAGAGTAGGCCTTCCTTTTGCTAACACTATATCCTCTCGCTTGAAACTAGCATTCCAAGACAAGATTAGTGTTGTCTTCAGAAGCCCTAACACACTAAGAAGTAGGTTGGTCCATCCAAAAGACCAAGTTCCAACACAGGAAAGGACAGGCATTGGGTACAAGATTACTTGGACAGATTGTCACAATTCTTATGTTGGGGAAACTGGCAGAACTCTTAATGAGCGATTAAAAGAACGCAAAAAAGCTCTCATATTGAGTAACCCATCCCATTCAGCTTTAGCTGAACACGCCCTTAACACAGGACATAATAATGGATGGGAGGATGCCCTCATTATTGACTTTAAAAGCAACTTCTGGTCAAGAAAGGTGAAAGAGTCCATATGGATTAAGAGGATCAAGCCTACATTAAATAGAGACTCTGGATACCTATTGTCACCTATCTTTGGTTCAGTGATCGCAAGACACCAGGCAGTGCTTGAAACATGAAATATAATGCATCACAACCATAATTATATTATTTTACTTCCTTTCGTTCTATCATGAAATGTGACGGTTAATGATTTTCATCAGAGTTGAAAATTATTTTCTTCATTAATCATGATAGCCTGATCTAGGATTAAAACACTTTATGCTAAAGACATTTTATCTCCTAGATAATGTCGGGTATTCATGAATTAAGTCTCAATAAGCACTTTGCATTTTGATCTACATGATATCTGAAGTATTACCAGAATAAAAATGAAAACCACAAGTACTAGAGTGGTTATGGTTTCTAATCTCAACATCCCAAACATTCATCCAATAAATAATGGGATTATTAACAATGTGATTCATGTGCTGTCAAGGAGAAGCCGACGTCACAGTGTGGCATAACATCTCGGTAATCAAGACACTTCAGGTCATTTGTGTCTGAGTTTATCACATAATGATTTTGTAAAATAATTTAAAATGATAACAAGCATCAATTGCTGGTGGATTCATCAGCGACAATTGAAGGCAACACACAATGATTGGCGGGAAATTCAAAATAGTAATTTGCAGCTTAATGTAGGTTGCGTTACCCCCCCCCCCCCACCCCCTCCCCTATTCGTCATAGTGTGAGCCTGCCTTAATATAGGTCCCAGTATTCTGATAGTAATCCATGCCTGCCATACTTGACTGGCCAAGGTGACTAACCTATCTTAGTTGACGACCCCTCTCTAAGTCAAACCCTCCTACCTCATACCCCACTACCTTAGTTGAGTACATTGGATGACTAGGAGGAACAGCTCTGTTATCACTCTGTCTATACAGATCCTCTTGGTCACCTTCCTATCTAATAAAGACCAGAGTTTTATCAAAGTCCCCCTACTATACATGATTAACCTAGGTGACTAACCTGGGTGACTAACCTATGTGACTAACCTAGTTGACTAGCCTGTTTGACTACCCACCTTTAATGTACTATCTCCTGCAGGGACAGCCCTGATATCATGAGCCTGTCTATACTGAGCTTCCTGATGGCTTAGCTCATCCATACGTTGCTGATGACGACGTTTGAAGCAGTATGCAGCAATGGTCAGTGCAATGAGACAGGCTATCAATGGTCCCACCACACCCAGGACTGTGTAGGTCACATTGTAAGGGACCTTTTGACCAAGTTCTGTACAAGAGGAGACAAAAAATAGTAAAAGGTTGACATTAAAAAGTGTGTACAGGCAATAAGATAGTTATCTTCATCATATAACAGATAACATCTAGAAAGAATGAACATTTTCATGAAAGGTAAAATATCAGCAGTTTTCTTTTACTAATCTCTTCATCATATACATTCCCATGTTGATGATACTTGAACATGAATTGTAAGAAATTACCCAACAACAAGATCAAGAATCATTTTCATGTATTCAAACTGACAGCTACTACATAGAATAGTAGCAGTTACACGTTAGCCTCACTGAGCTGGGAACGAACATGATATATATGATATATATATATATATGATATATATATGATATATCTATATGATATATATCTGTTGTCTCACTTTTACTTTATTTACAAATCAGTGATCACTACCATTAATGAGAATAAACTTGACAGGATCATTCATGAGGATGTTTGTGCGTGAGAATGCAGCTCATTATGTCTGATGATGATTCTCAATGAAAGGTTAGTCCTTTTCTTTCGCTGACAAGCCGACTGGCTAGCTGGCCGACAAACCGACTCACAGACTGACTGGACTAATCAAGTCCATGTGTAGTGATGCATTCATAGAAGATGAATCAATGAATCTTCATAGGCTCAGTGTAACAGACAAGACACCACATAAAACCTGCTTATATACAAAGGTCACCTTACAGCTGCACTAAATTACACAAAAACCTCTTTTCCTTCATCAAAGGTTTATTGAGCACAGCACGCAATGCAGTCAATATCTTCATATTTCAATTTCTTTTTGAGGTTTATCTTAGTGTATTAGGGATGAGTTTGGTATGGGATGATTGTATTGGACTATGAAGATCAAAGGATTTGACTTCAATAGCTACATGTACATCATGTAAAATCTCTTTAATCTATCCCCTCTTTTTGACCCGGGAACCTCATCTAGCATAATGACAAGACAAGGATGTGTTTCTAAAATAAATCCGAAACTGATTTCTACCAAGTTACCATTGCACGTGAAGAGAGTAGAAACTACCAAGTCGTTGTCAACACAAGAGATTTTGAAGCAAAATTACACTTCAACTAACAGTTATTTGTAATCTTGTATTATTCAATACTGGTATCGTAAATTCAACTTTTTATGTTCATATTTAAAAACTATGAGATTATCTATCACTTATGTTCACTTTGCTTACATATCTCGTCTTCTGAAATTGATTCAAAATCTGATGACTCACTTTATAGACTTTAATACAAAAAGTAAGAAGTGCTGAAAAATGGTCCATCACGTATAGTGTCTTATCAAATAATTAACTTAATACTACGTACATGTAAGGCCCAAGGTCACAGATCTAATTTGAAAAGAACCTGAAAGTAGTAGACACTCAAAGTCTCAAGTAGAAAAACAATTGAGAAATATTGCACCCACAGAGAGAGAATGTAATAACACTGGATGTTTGTTCTGTTTCAGTCCTTATCCAATCAAATATATTCCTTCATAAGATGCTGCTTTGGTCTAGGTCGGTTTGGCGACCAATTAACGACTCTTGGTCATAACAAGAATCAATTAAATGAATTTAATTGGCAGCAATATTTATTCTATGTATCATAATTGTCTGCTACTCAAGGCCATTACTGAGTGCCAGATCGACTCCGTGTCACATCACAAAGCATTGCTTGCTTCTACAAGTGCTGTATTAGATCATTGGTACCCAGTAAATTTGTAAATCAATAAGACTGCATCAAAATTAAACATTAACAAGCAGATGGAAGCACATTGGATTTTAGTATGAGCTTGTATGTGTAATCATTTTAATTCTGACTTAATTCTAAATGTTATATTCTTAGATGAATAATTTATTGACTTTTAGACTCTTAAATGTCTAACTTCTTGTTTAATTTTTGTTTTCTTCTTCAATTTCCTCTTCTATACCACTGCCTCCATGCATAGTTTTATTCTTATCTTGGTCTTTTTCGTTATCTTCTCTTGACTCATCTTCACCTACCTTTCCTTCTCCTCCTATACTGCATGTACAGTATTTGCTACTTCTCCTTTTTTCTTCTTTCTTCCACTTAACCATCCATTTATAAAATATCATCTGTTTGGAGCCAGGAGGTCGTTAACTCATATACTCTAAGACAGAGTGAATGCCCTTCTGGCTCTGAACAAAAGGTATACTGTACATCCAATTCTTTCCTTCAACACCATCATGTAACAGGTATCATCAGCGCTTTGAACACTGTAGCTTTGTTGGTAATGGAGGGTGTGAGCACTGCCCCAAATGAGTGACTCACTCACTACACCAATGTATGCAGGAAATGAAATTGAGAAGTGAAAATTGATGAAAACTGTTGTTGGAGGTGAACGACCGTGTCTCAATGACCAATGTCCCATACATGTTGGCTTGAATGTTAGCTGGAATACATTTACATATTACAACATGCACTTTATGGTATGATGGTTGAATTAGTAGAACACCTTACTGAGTATGACGATAGGGATGATGACAATCATGATTATGAATATGATGATGAAGATAATAATGATGACAGTACTAAGATTAAAATCAACATATAATATAAGCATTGAAGACATTCAGTCAAATGTTCTGTTCTTTTGTTGTTCTTTTTTTCTTTTCAGTCACATGATTGGGAGAAGCATTCATAAGAAGTGTTCAAACGGAAAAGTAGAATGTCTTTAGAAAAGTAGAATGCAAAGACAGTGCAAACACAAAATGTTCACCATTTCTCCAAAGAAGCAGACGATTCATGCGCGATCAAATAATTTTATAATTTCTTGTTTCTTATAAAACAGTGTAGAATGCTAGAAACTGTGAGAGGACTATTCAAGATGATGTAAACATTTTGAAGCCGGCTACATGGATAAAGCCTACAATTCATGCCAAACTTGTTTACGTTTTGAATTTATTTATTTAGAAATGGGTCCACTTCAAACCTATTAACAGGACTTTTATGAGAGTCGTCTGAAAGAGACAGAATGAGACAGAATGAGACTTCCTGTGGCAGTGTAAGAGATGGAGAGGCATGTAAGAGTACTTGACTTCCTTTGAGAAGAAGATAGTCAGTAGGCCTGTTTTCACTAGCTCGAGATTGCCAAATATCCCGCTATTTGATCTATCCCGATCGCAAACTATCCAGTTAATTTACGTCTTCATCAGCCCGTAGTTGCAATTAGCGGGATATTTGGTCGGGATTGTCATCCCAAGATATCGTGGGATAGTTTGGAAAATATCCCACTATTTGGCAAAATATCCAGCTATTTGTCCGGTGCGTCATCACCAGACCAAAGAATCGCACTATGCGCAAACGCTGAGTAAAATATCTCGAGCTAATTTCTCAAGGTGGAGTTTCAAGTTTCGAGGTCGAATCTCGAGTTGATGAAGACACGATTTGTAACTTCAGGACTATTTCCCAAATCAGAAATAGCAGGCTATTTGGCAATCTCGAGATGATGAAGACTCGCCTTCAGTGATCACAAACATCTCAAGATTTGACCCCTTGGTAATACTAGCTGGCGACAGGGCACATCATTCTCTAACCCATTCAATGTTAATATGAGAAGTTAAGGCACATAGCCACTTGAACCTTGCATTTCATCACATCTTCTAAGCCCTAAAGAATGTCTACTCTTCATCCTCCTAATACAGTACACCAGAAAACATTTGATCACATTACACAGGCTTTGAAAATAGTACTTCTGTAGTTTCTGATGATGAAGAATTTTGTTTGTTTGATTTTCATAAGAGCCCTTATGGCTGAAATATTGAACATGGAAATATATCACATGGACTAATATTTTCAAAAGGTGCAAGTTTGGCTACAGGGGCAATTTTGCCTTTGGAGAGCATAATTTATCTCCAAGTAAAACAAACGTAAAATATATCAAAATATGACGTTTTTGGAGAGATGGAGGATATGAGAATCAATAATTACCTATATTTCGGAGTGTTTTCTATACAAACATTCTTATTAGTGGGAATGACATCTCTTCTGTTTCTGTGTCTGTCTATCCTTCTCTCTCTTGTTCTGTGTTTCTCTGTTATTACATTTATATTGGTTGGTTTCACACATTCACTCTCTCTCTCTCTCTCTCTTTTACAGGAAGACCAGGAAGACTACTACCAGCTCTAAGATTGATTCTACCTGTCACAATAAGAACAGAGTACTATCAAGATACTAATGTCTCCCTAGCCTTGTTCATTACCATCTGACTCATGATGAGAGAAAGAGAGAGAGACAGAGAGAGGGAGAGAGAGGCAGATAGAAAGAAAGGGCGAGAGAGAGAGAGAAAAGGGAGAGGTCGAGGGGGAGAGGGAGAGAGAGACAGAGAGAGAGAGAGAGAGAGATAGAGAGAGAGACAGAGAGACAGACAGAAGGGAGGGAGAGGAGGGAGGGAGGGAATGAGTTTAAATTGAATGATAGAAAGCATTCTTTCTATGGATGATCAATGATTCTATTGCAGTCTGGAGCCAATGTCATTATGGCTCATTGCAGGGATGGATGGTCTGACCAAGATATAGGTTACTGGTGTCCCCCTCTGGAGGTTGTTACTATGCAGCGACATAGTGGTAACATGGGCAGGTGGATTGAGTGTACTTTTCTACAAAACACTGTATCAACTCTTTAGTCTTTACAGTAAATACATCCTTGAAAAATACACAGAGCTCTGTCTTCTTTGCTGCAGATGTGTAGCACTTGCTTTGACATGTCAAAAGGTTTGATGCTGTACTTTCTCTAGCAAAGTTCGTTTGTTCCGAGGTACGTCAGAGATGCAGTGAGTCAGTCATACATGATTCAAATTGTTGATAAGAAAGAAAACTCAGTTATGTAGGACAGTAACATTGAGAGAAATACAGTGCGTCCAAGAAAAAACGAAACCGAGAGTTGTCGATGTTTTAACATAACTGTACCAACAAGCAGAATCGACAAAAGACTTAACTCCGTTTTGTTGACAACAGCCATGCATGAAGTCTTTCGTCTACGGCTGATTGTCAACGAAACGGAGTTAAGTCTTTTGTTAATTCCGTTTGTTGCTACGGCAATAGCCAGTGAAAACGAATTTGTTTACTAAAATTATGGAAATGCAAGCACTACTTTAAACAAACAGAACTTTGTTATTCCTAGCTCATTTTTCCTGACTGAGGTGTCATATGAAAGGGCAGAAACTCGGCTTTCTAGAAATGTGATTTTCTCTTTGAAATTCAGATACCGTCGCCAAATTACTTTTTGGTTTCCTCTCTTCAAATTCATTTTACTCACTCATGCGTGAAATATGCATCATATAAGTTGCATCAAAATGAAAGAGGAGGATCTAAGCTTTCCAAATATGTGTCATTTATTGATTAAAAATATGACTAAGTTATGATAAAACATCGACAATTCTCGGTTTTGTTTTTCTCTGGAAAGAACTGTATATTGAATTATACTTTTTGAGAATATTCTGAATTAAATGAAGAAAAAAAAGAAGTAATATTACTTTGAGAGGGGAAACCAACAGGAGTGAAAGGGATGTGGTAAAGAGCTCTGTTAGAGATTTTAAAAAGGAGAAAACATTATGAACAACAAGTACCCGGTATGTGCAAAAGAAAGGGATTTTTTTCTTCTTCAAATCAGTATATTTATTGTACAACATTACATCCATTGACGATTTTGATACTAACATTAAAAAAGGCCAATAAGAAAGAGAAAAAAATGCACAGACTACAAAGTGATATAGCCAATGTATTGGCAGCAAGAATAAAAGAATCCACTGCCCACCCCCTCCCCCCTCCCCAACCTACTGCTTCCACCTACAATACAGAGAATATACATGTAGTACATGGTATATGGTATTTCATGTAAAATAGTAAAAGGGAAAGCACGAAGAAGGCTTTGCAATGAAATTATTAGATGATATAAGCTAGGGAATCATGTGATGTTCCAGACAGGATTCATGACTCCCTCCACACCAGTCAAACTATCTTACCTCATTTTAGTGAGTGATGAGCGAAGAACGTGACTAAAAGGCTATCTTACACACATACTAATCAACATTAATGACTCCAGACAGACAGATAGATCTACTCACATTAAATCTGATACATTGCATGCATGTTCATTACATTGACTTTCATGTTCACTATGTGATTTCATGTGTAAAGCTATAAGTAGTGACCAGCATTGAGGGAGATTACTTATACTTGAACATAGCATTTTGATTCTGGGGTTTGCAACAAAAGTGATATCTTTAAGAATCTTGTCTCTGGAGTTTTGAAATTGCTGATAAATATTGAGAGAATCCTAGATAATTATAAATAATTACATGTAGTTTAAAAATCTTTGGTGAAACCAATTCAACTGACAAAAGGGAAATAGGAGGGGAAAGGGGAAAAGGTTTTTAAAGTCTTCTCCCCCCCCCCCCCTCTCTCTCTATCTTGCTCGCTCTCTCTTTCATGTCTCTCTCACTCTCTCTCACTCTCTGTCTGTGTCTCTATCTGTCTGTCTGTCTCTGTCTCTGTCTCAGTCTCTGTCTCTCTCTCTCTCTTCTCTCTCTCTGTCTGCCTCAGTCTCTCTCTTTCTCTTTTACTTTCTCACAGCAGAATAAGTCATGATGATATAAAGAAAGAATGAAGTGTGAAAGAGGAGGAGCATGGTGTTGGCTTGGTATTTCAAAATGACAGTGACTCCACATCAATCTTAATGTTTACATTAGGCTAAGAAAAAGAAATAAACAATATGATAACTAGGCAAACATACAGGCTTACATTTCACTTTTCTATTCCATCCTACGCACATGTTTTGAACTGCTTGTGAAATCCAAATTAACACCTGATTCTAGGTTTTAAACAAGGTTTAGATGCACTTTAAACAAAAATAAAAATAAGCAGTTTCTCTTCAAGCCCAGGAATTACAGGAAGAATCCCCTGTATTTACAGACAGATCTATATGTTACACTCTTCTTAATAGATGTAGATGTGATTACAGCTTTTATAAAACAACCAAAAATGGTATGATTGATGAGATACCGGTAAGCATTGGATTAATAGTATAGTATTAATGACTGCTTTGAGAGAAATAGTTGTTTTATTACGCTCAAGGGAAGGTTAGAATTGTGCTATTCCCCGAGGCTTGCCGAGGGGAATAGCCCAATTGTAACCTTCCCGAGAGCGTATGAAAACAACTATTTCTCGAATATTAAAGCAGTCATTAATACTTTTATATGCCGAAAAAAAATAGACTAAAAAATGAAAAATTAAAAATATTTATCATTTTTGTCGAAGACGGGATTCGAACTCTTGCGTACAACAAGAGGTGTACCGAAAACCAACGCTTAGACCACTCGGCTATGGCCCGCCGTTAACATGCTTGGCAGTTTTCTCCAATATATACATTAAAATGGATTGAAACCGGCTTCGCGTGTGATGAATGCTTCGCAAACGCTCCATATACGGACTCTTCTTTTACTTTTGCAATGCATATTGGCACGAACTTAGATCAAGATCTATCGGCAGATGTTGTTTTTTTGTTTTTGGAAGTTTATTTTCGTCTTCATGTCAACAATGCAAGATAAAATTGTCGGTAAGATCGATCGAGATTCAATTGTATTGAAATTACCGACCAATCCTTCGCACACATTACGGCATCCTCCATCGCTCAAACCATTTTTTAACATGTAAACCTATGGGGTAACCATGGAGGCTGACCAACTGTTTTTAATAACCATGGTTATTAAAAATATTGAAATGTTTTAAGCATGGTTACCGTGAATTTTACAGGAACAGTTGAAGTTTATGAATGCAATTCGACCAATCAGATGGCTGGATTTCTTAAGTGAGGTATATAACATTAATTGTGACCACATAATGACAGCTCATGAAGGTTCTTTCCTACATGCTTTATAAATGAAATTTAAATCTTGTAGAGCGCATCAAACCTAGCTTCATCATAGTGAAGAATGTGGGTTAATAGTCTACCAACTACATCTTCTTTCTTATAAAAGATTTAATTTAAATATCATGCGAAGAAATATCTTTAAGTAGATAAATCTCTGGGTAAGAGAGCAGCGTGTGAATGATAGCTACAGTATATAATTGATTGGAGGAATCCTTCATGCTATTGCCCACATGATTGGTGTGAGAAAGAGATTTGTGATCATGTACATTTTTATATTTCAACTGTACATGTACTTTAAATCCACTAAATTGTTCCTTCAATCGTTTGAATATACATGTAGCTTTCGTACCATTTTCACTAAAGTGTAGATGCTTTTTCCTTTCAAAAGTTATCTTTTCCCGAATTTGAGAAAGCTAAATATTTTGATAATTCAATGATAATTTTTTAAAAGCTGACAATGGTTTCTGATTCAATCTACAGTGATTAACCTACCATCTGCCTGAACCAGTGGGGCAATCATGATACCATCCATCATGTTAAATCCTTGATAGCATGACCATAACATCCTCATTCTTGATTTGTAATGTATGTTATCAAGTTCAAAGGGAATGTGTTTGTATAGAGGGACAAAGATTCTGAATTAGATTTTGAGATGTCAATTGTAATCCTGGAATAACCCAGAACTCCCTACCTACTGGTCATGAGAGCAATTTGTAGTACATTGAATTATGAGGTCCTTTAAGTTTATAATTCCATATTAATTGAAGATGAGCCAATCACACAGAAAGGTCTTTCCCAATCACCATTTTATATTTCTAATAGATACCATGTTTACTAGTGTAAATACTTTCATACAGGTTGTTACAGATCTCTGGGGTATTTGGTCGAGTTATAGATCCATGTTGACTCTACATGAGGAACCATTATAGCCAGATATATCATACTAACCTTCTGTGATACGAGGTGTTGTCGTTGGTAAGAACGTTGGTTGTAGATCATTATTACAGAAGGAACGATTACAGCACAACACAGAGATGTCTGGATAAGGATGCATCTTACAAAACATGTTGAACTGTTCTTCTGTATTCACACATCCCTGCAAAAATAATGAATGATGGAATATCATAGGTTAAACAGGCACTAATAAGTGCTAGCAGGCAACACCTAGAAGATAAAAATGTTTTTGATGCCAACTTGTCATCATATGTAAGCAAGTTCTGTAGAAATCATTGAAGAATTATCTGTCATCTACTTCCATATTATGTCATTACGAGCATAATTTTATCATTATTATGTCAAATCATTTTGGCTTAATGAAGCTGAAGCATCGCACAAAAACTTTTGATGAACCATTTTCAAGTACTTTTTTGAATTTCTTCAATCAACATACCTAACTGAATATGTACCGGTAAGTGCTATTTTGAAATAGGTGCCTTGAAACTATATAAAACCATCACAATATGTACATTGTACATCAGAGTAAATAACCTGCTGACCACTTTGTCATGGGAACATACATCGCACAATACACACCAAAGTGTGTTTTAATGATCCCCAGTGTTTATTTTCTGGTTTATGAAGAAAAATATCTCTTTGAAATGATCTTGCAGAAAAATAGCTATAAAGTTCAATAATTGATACTGGATGGAATTTGACCTGATAGACTTATAATATATCTAAGGATGAATCTGGACAAAGTACCATGGCAGAGAGACTAAGATTACTCAGTAATCAGAGACGGAGTGATAAATCCTGGTTAAACTCACCATTCTCTTCATGATGATGCCATCTACTTCTGTTATTGATGAGAAACATTTCCGAAGTGCTTCACAGCGATTGGTCCCTTCACAGCTATAGTCATCACAATTGCACTGTAGAGTCACACTATTGTTGACTTGGTGAGCTAGGTCAGCCACGTAGACATCTTGACTAGCTCGCATCGTCGACACTGAAAGATATGAAGGTCAAAGGTCAAGTTGAGTTATGGGCATGACAAAAATTAAACTTCATTAATGCAATCATACATTGGTTCATATCACGGAAGACAACAATTTACCAATCAGTTCAATATCACATCAATAACTCGCATGGATTTAACTAAATGAGTGTTATTTCTTATCTTATTACAATCCTTTAAGTGTTCACAGAGCCAAGCAACACTAATAGGACACACACCACTCCATGTATACACCGATTCGGTTTGGGGGTTTTATGTACCTGCCCGCCGGTGGCGGCGCTATAACTGGGGGGCTTCTCCGATCCAGCTGACAGTACAGAGAGCTCGAGAGCGGTTACTAGCTAGCGGAGCAGCGACCCTGGCCGGCCTGGGCGAGGTTCGGTATAGGTATAGCATACCCGTCTGCTGCAATGCAATGTAAGCTAGCTAGCTGCAGTCAGACGCCCCCCAGTTATGGCGTCACCTTATGAGGGCGCACTTCCACCAGAAGTCGCCCGAATCGGTGTATAGCATGTTACCTCTGATGTCCCATATATACAAAGCAATGCTGACTCTTGAAGTGCATCCACCAATTCAAACAGTGGCAAGCAAAAGTTTGACAAAAACTTCCTGAGATTTATGCAAAAGTCAGATTGTCTTGAGGCCTACCAAATATAACACATACCATACTTCAAGTGGGAACTTTTTTTTTACCATGTGGCATCAGGTGAACTGATCATACAGGAGTGTGGAGCTCAGTATACTATACTCCCAGGTTTAAATCCATGTGGATAATGGAAAGAAAACTTCTATAAGTACATAACGTTTCCACAGATATAATACATAACAACTAACTTATGAAAGCCAGACAGACTACTCACATATGATTCATGCACTGTTCTGATAGATAGCAGATACAAATGATGAAGTTACTATAGAACATCATACAATGTCGATGTGGTCCTTGAAATAGTATACAGGTAACATTCAATAAAATGTCACTTATATGCATTTAAAAATGATCCTGTCATATACATGTATATTATGTAATACTGATATTGTGCATTCATCCAAGTCTCAATGTGCTATTACTAACGAGCAACATGGGTTTGTCATTGACATAGGCACGTTAAAACGAGCAAGTCATCATCCAATAAAACAGCTGTCAAAGATAATTTAGGGGTTGAGAAGAAATTACATGAATCAGGTACATCATCAACCTTATGTCAAAATCTATTACACACATAATCCTCTCATAACACTTTTGACAAAGTGAAATGCATACCGTACATGTGTACATGCTTGGGTTAATTATTTACATGTACCTAACAATACAGTTCTTTAAATCTCAACATTCCTCTCCCCGTCCACCCAATCAGGGTCTATCACAGTTACAACGGAAATTAAATGATGGATTTTCAATAGTTGGCTGATTTGGAAGATGGTTATCACTTGTAAATGGTGAACAATTAGGGTATGTTTGATTTACAGTTTATTTGCATACACTTGCACTTCATCTTCCAACTTTAGATTGGAAACATTACAGAAATAAGAATAGTATCCAGTGATTGCATCTACAAATCAGAAACACTTTGCGGAATATTCACAAAGACTGAAATTTCATTTGTTCACATTAATCCTTTTTATTCTTTCACATTGTAGCCTAGACTTTTACTTCAACAGCCAAGCAAGAAGGCAGAGTCTAGCCAAACAAACACAAAGCATGCATGCTCCATCTGGTGTGTATCTCATTCTAAGATGAGATACTTCTTAACCTACAGCATCCCAGAAGACTACTTTGTAGCTCCTGCCTCTGCAGTGAGGGGGTTAACGTCACACTCTCCTAGCCCACAAGGCTGTCCCTACATCGACATGCCTGCCACGGAGGATTCATCTAGTCATCTGGATTACCAACGACATCAAGCCAAAAGCTGTCACCCTTCATTTCCTGTTGAAACATTCTCTGAGAATCTAATCAATTCAGTCTTACCCATGAGCAGCAATTCAACCAAAGATTAGCTGCTTTCTACCCACAATCTTCTAGTCATGCCTTCTACATAGTAATGATACTAATAATGAACAAGGCATGCATGCATCTATTAACAAGTTGCATCATCTGATTGAAGACACCTACATTCAACCCACTCAAGCCAACACATTTAATTGAAATACTGAGAAGAGTGTTCAATCTTTGTTATTGGCAAACTAAAAGATCTTTTGGCAAAAACAGTGAAAGGTGTAATTGCTGCACTTGTTGCCTTTAAAGGGAAAGTCCACCCCAAAAATAAGTTTGTTTCGATAGAGGCAGAATAATAAGAAAATCAGGTGAGTGAAAGTTTGAGCAAATTCTGAATGAAAATAAGAAAGTTATGAATTATTGAAGTTGTGATCAATCAAATACAAATTGGCAACTCTGTGACTTATTATACGAGCTCTCCTTCATTTGCTTTGTGCATAATATTCCATAAAATCATGTTTTCTTCGTTATTGATGACGGAATATATATTTGTTCCTTGCAGGGGGAGTATAGAAACATATTTGCAATTATTATATTTAGGGTGCATGTATGGTTGAAATTTTTCTTGAGGGAAAATGAAAATTTTAGATTTTTTTAGTACTGAGCAAATGGAAGTTGAGCTCGCATGATACGTCATAGAGTTGCCAATTTGTGTTTGATTGATCACAACTTCAAAAATCCTAACTTCCTTATTTTTAATCGGAATTTGCTCAAACTTTCACTGACTTGTTTCTCTCATTTTTCTACTCCTATTAAAACTAACTTAATTTCAGGGTGGACTTCCCCTTTAAAACAGTTTCCATACAGGTTCATCAACAATATTAAATGATTTTTGTTTTCCACAGAAATGTTTCTAAACTTGGTAAATACAAACATGCAAGGAGAAAATACAACTTATCAGCCAATCTGACAATTATTTACCAAAAATACATGTATTTATGTAACTTAACAACATTTTGAATCTCATGGTTTCTTTGTATTCCCTAGTTCTATATGTAATATCAATGTCATTGTATATGTCATTGTTTATATAATTGGTAAATGAAAAATTAAATAGTGGTCAGATTTGGGGTTTCAATCATCATTCCCACTTTTGGCCAACACCCTTTTACCACTTTGGACAATCCCTCTGATGAATCCTCTTGATCAAATTGTTTGGCTGACCCTTGGACATACCCATTTGACCATTTCCTTACGTCAATTCCTTAATTTCCTGTGACCAATCTCTTTGGCCTCCTCCTCCTCCTTGGCAAACGATTTTGGTTAATGCCTCTGACCAATATCTTTGGACTAAGCCTTTGTTCAATCTCTTTGATCTTTCTCTGGCCAATTTCTTTGGTGAGTCTTTGTTGCTCTATACTCATTTGGCCATAATTAAGTTTGGTCTGTTCTTTTGATGAACATGAGTCTGTTTGGTCTATTTTTAAAGTAGTGCTTTTGGTAAATCTGTTGGAAACTCCTTCCAAGAATCCACTTAGTTACCGGTAGTCCCTTCAACCAATTTTGTATTGTTCAATTCCTTTGGCCACTCATTCTAGACAAAGCATTTTGTTCATTCTTTGACTAATGCTTTACAACCATTTCTTTGGTTAGTATCGTTGTTTGATATGGCACAAGACCTGATCTACCAAGTTGATATACCAGGAACACCATTTAGTCTTTTCGAACACAGCTATGACAATAATGGACAGAACAAGTAAATGAGATGCACCTAAACACCTAGGGTACCCCCCCCCCCCCTGCCCAGAAGCCCCTATGGTAATTTTCATCTCTTTAATTACATGTGGCATTGTAGCCTATATTCCGCGCAACTAAACATATGTATAGGATAGCTTACAAACTACTTTATTTGCTCGACACACTTCTTTACATCTAACAAGGGAGTTATGCCTAATATCTCCATGCATGTTTGAAGTGCACAGCAAATCCAATTGACAAGGCTTCATACTCATGTCATGATGCATCACCAAATCAATATTCAATTTGGATTTCCTAATACACTATACCGGTACATGTAGGATAGTTCTGCTCGTAGAATGACATGATTATTATTTTATCCAATAAAGAAAATATCAGGATTTTTAAAATCAATGGAAGTCTTGCCTTATTATTTGACAAGATTTTGTGATAGTAATTTTGTAAGTGGAGTTGAAATAATGCATCATTTCAAGTCAACCCATGTTCAGTATCATAACAAAAATTAAGATTTGAGCATGAAAACAATAAGGGTATTTTTTGACCTAATTGGCTCAAACAAGGGTGATATAGGGTTATAAGTACACACCCTTTCAAGTGGGAATTTAACACTATTAATTTAATTTCCGTCCTTAAGGACATTTAGAGTGTTAGATGTATTTTTTTCAGAACTCAATTTTTTTTTAATTACAAGAAATATTTCCAAAACAGACGCGTAGCTTAAGTATCTCAGGTTACAGAACAAAAGCCTCCAAATAGTCCGTTAAAGAAATCAGCATTGCTCAGAAGCCAATGACCTCAGCTTTTTAATCTTTTTCTTTCCACCTAATCCTGGCTAACTATCGCTCCCAGATGCTAGAAACACACGGGAGCTAAACGCACTGAGAGGAAGCTAATGCAGAGCCCAGAGGCACTCCAGGCAGGATGGAGAAAGATCCCGTTTACAATCCTGTTTCCTCAAATGAACGGGATTTGTCGCCACTGGCATTTACGTATTAAGACAGGATGCCATATGCATACAGTGCACATGAATACAAATCTCCTAATGTACATGAATGAACGCTATCCATTATGATAGAAGGAGTTATTTGAGATATGAATAACAAATGTGCATAACATAATTCTTTCATGAAGGGAATCGTGATGACAGAAGCCAAAGAGGAGCATTCAAACACTTTCATTTTACCATCTTAAAAAGACCGACTTAAAATGTAGAAAATAGAAAGCAAAAGACCAACTGAATGAAAAGGGATTTTGAGAGAGGTAGCAGAATCTTGAGACTATGGCCACTTCTCAAGAC